TATCACAGTCGTTATATGAACAGCTGGGATATACCAGGCTTAAACCAGCACCAAAGGCGCCCCAAAAGCGCCCGCCTCCAGCAACTCTTTTTGGGCCTGGACGAACTCCTCAGCAGGGCAGCCAATGCATTTTCCTTTTGAAATTTCAACGGACAATGAATGAAAATGATGTATAAGGTGGACCCCCCTCAGTTATAAGTTGGCCCCATGAATGTAATAACTATAAATCATTGTACCCTCTGGTCCCTTTACGTAGCTATGGCAAATCACAATTGTTAATAGGTAAATCATCAGAAATCATTTATAGATTGGCAATTTTCCATAGCCATGTTTAATAATAATGGTAATTGCAATAAACATCCACAAACCATAGGTATTGGAGTTATAAACCAACTAGTTATCCAAGGGCCCCCACCTTGTACTGAACCTGAGGATAAACAATAGGATTTTGGTGTAATTGTGAATATTTTCTTAGAGAACACACCAGTTCTTCACCTACGCTGAATGGATCACGAAATATATGTTTTGGGATGTTCGGCTTAACCATGAGTAACTATTAGTAAATATGCCAATATATGCCGGTACCGTGAAGCAGCTGAGTTATATAATATCATATGTAGTCTAAACCCACATGTAGTATAGACATATACCAGCTCGTGCTACTACACGTGATTGCAAATGTACAGAATTTACAACAGTAGGGATGATGATACAGATTGATACATCTCTTACCCGACCCTTTACTTTGTGCAAACCCTCATGATAGTCAGATTTTTTTTCTGCAGATTGGATATTGTAAGTAGTTGTGGCATGCGTGCTAAAGAAGGCTTGAAAGGACACTTCCGAGTGGCAAATATCTAGGATTCTTGGAGCTATCCCATTCCCAGCGGCCATTTTAGATGACACCGAAGACTCACCCTCGTCTGTGATAAAAAAACAAAATACATATGTTGGTGATTACTGGATGCACAATAGGGTATATCCACCAAAGCCATGGGCTATGGACCAACCCAAGATAAACCCCATGGAGGTTTAAGCTGTTTACAGTGGGTTTAGCAGCCAATCCAACTATAGATACATATGTACAAACTATAACAATATATCCGCTATAATTCCTACATGATTAGCCTACATAGTCACATCTCATGGACTTTGAATACAACCTTGGCCAAAACAAGGCTGACAAATACCATTATCCATGAGCCTATAACCATCTATAACCTATAATGTCATGGGTGATATATACCATAGATCTCCATATATCATAGATATTTCTTGGGTTATTAGCCTATTTCACTAGCCTATCATATACCACCATTTACCACCTATCTTTCATGGGTGATATATACCATATCCATCTATATCCATGGGTGTTATATCCATTCATATACCCTTCAATATTTCATGGGTGTTATATCCATTCGCTATAACCATCTATAACCATCTATAAGCATCTATAACAATCTATAACCACCTATAACCATCTATAACCATCTAATAACCATCTGTAACCATCTATAACCATCTATAAATTACGTATATTTCATTGGTGATATATTGCACATCAAAAATTGTACCCCCACTATCTCCACCCGACACTTTACAATTTTGTTCGGTCTCCGCACGGCGCTTTCCTTCTCGCGCACCTCGCCGGCAGCCTGGATTCAATGGATCGCGTTGGGAAAATCTACGGGAAACCATGTTTTTTTTTCCATGAAATATAGGGTGTTCCTGTAAATTTTCCCTTAAACTCTTAAACCTATCTGATGATGGATACATGTCATCGAAAATATGAAGCAATAACTCTTTGGGGACTTTTATTACCCACCAAAAAACACTTAAACAGAGATGCAATGGAAATCTTTAGCAACACAAATCAGGATTGGACATGAACCAACTGATACCAACTGCAATGTTTGATCCTAAGGAACCAATGGGCCGGTTTGCAGGAACATCAACAGGAAACTGTGGATTTACCATTATCAAGAGGAAGCCCTACAAAACCATTCAACAAATTTACTCAAGAACTGTATTAAACCGATGAGTATTAATCATATTCAACATTCTAAGGAATTGTTCATATACCCAAAAACTTTATGCCCCAACTTTACGGGTATTAATATGGGTTATTCATATGGGTTATACATTCATTATCATTCATTTACCATGCAACTCTTGCTGCATTAGCCTTGAGGTCAGCTTCATCCGCAGCGATGCTCTGTTGAGTCTCCTGGATGCTTGAGGTTGCAGCCTGCGGCAAGGTCCCCAGGTCAGCCAAGGTCGAGATGGTCAAGGTCACCGCCCTAAGTTGAAAGTGAGGTAAAGAAAATCAGGCACCTCCATACCCTCTGGTAAACATACAAAAAGCTATTGAAAATGGTCATGGAAATAGTGGATTTTCCCATTAAAAATGGTGATTTTCTATAGCTATGTTAAATTATCAGAGGGTAATTTGGAGGATTTTAACCACACATGTCTTGTGTTCCTGGGGATGGATAATACTATTGGGTGTACCAGATTAGCTGGATCCTCAGGGGTAAATGTGGAAAACCCTATGTTTTCCCTAACAAAATGTGAGTGCTCTACATCGATGTCAAGGTCCTGCCTCAGCCTTGCCATCAGCCTTGCTGATGCGCGCAGTCAACTCTTCGATGTCTGTCTTGGCCGTCTTGATCTGTCAGCAGGGTTTGCTGCCGTCAACTGCCATGACACTGCAGGTTCTACATATATCTTTCATTGGATTGGATGAAACAAATGCATTGAGTGCGTCATGAGATGTGAGTGATCAACATCAGTTATGGCCAAAACATGCGAAACTCTGTCTTTCTGTGGATTGCCTCTTGCCGTGGCAGCTAACATTTCACAAACAAACTGTTCCGACTGTGGCAGTGGCACGCCTGGTACTCCAAGTCGGCTGTCCTGCAATATATCGGCTGTCCTATACCAACCCCCCAAAAGATAGAAAATGAAATTCCCACCATTCGATTGGGATCTTAACTTTCCATCTTTTTAAGGGGGTTGCTTCACATGAACAACAAGCATCTCATCCTCTGTCAAGAGAATGCCAGGCCTCTTCTCACACATGTTGGTGTACTTGGTGATCTTCTTTTCTTCTGCCTGCCACGCTGCACTGCCATGCCACTACTAGCAAGTGAGTCAAATGCCAGCAGCCGGGCCTTTCCCTCCTCCACGATTTCTCCTTCCATGGACTGGAGCAAGGAAACCACCTTACCCACCTGAGCTGCGGCGACCAGGGGTCACCAGTTCAGCTTTTTTCTTGTCCCAGTCAGAGATATCATTTAGGGATACAAGGCAAAACATCAGTTGGATACAATATAATACAACCAGTAAAAATGTGGATATCAATATCAGATGATATCAGCATATCCAAATGGGATTTTGAGTCAGGCAAGGTACTGCTCTATCCGACTATCCGGCGCTACTTGGCGGTTCGCTGAGCAGCCACACTGGGCTTGCTGCATCTGCCACTAGGGCCTCAACGACTCAACGACTGGGATGACGAATGTGGGTAAAACAATGCCATTTTTACCACCCATGACTGGGAATGGTTTACACAACCTATTTATGGTGATCTGGAGGATGGTTTATTATGATTAGTCATCATTCTTTTACCCACACTGTTGGGAACCCTTTGATGCCGGCCTTGATGGTTTGATGTTTGGATCGTTTTAATATATTGTCACAATGGCATGCCACACGGAAGCCAGCCATGACACCTCTGAACATACCCAGTTGGCTTTGTCTGACCCATGAAAATAAGGGTTCCCCCAAGAATCACCGGCAAACCATCATTTTCCCGGTTGAAACAACCATAACTGGATATAACTGGGTCATACCCCATTTTCAGACAAATGCATGTAACGATTCATCTGTTGAAGCATGTCGTGGGACAACAAGCTGCTTGGGGCCGCACGAGAAATGCTGCCAGGAACCATTTCATGGCCTAAAGCCAAAAACCGCCTCCAGCAAGGCACTGTGACAACAGTCATAGCTCTTCCAGGTGCTGTTCCTTTTAAACAAAGGGCAAAATGTCGTGGGTTCCAACACATGCCTGCGGTTGGTTGAAAGCATCCATATATATATATACAGATATATATATAAATTATATATATATATTATATCCATATGGTTCTATTTTCACCAGGAAAATCCACATGGTAACCCCTACTAATTGGCTATGAATCCCCTCCGGCCCCGAAAATTTTCGTGTGCCCGCAGACCTGGCGATCCTTCGTTGGTCTTGGGGTCGGTCCAACGCAGGTCCGATCTTCGAAACCAAAAAACAGCAGCGACGGATGCCACCGTCTGAGTTTTGTGTAGCACGAAGCTGAAAAATGAACTTGATTTGATTTGATGATATGTCCTTTTATGAGTAACCAACATGGTTCAAAGTTGGAGCATATATATATATGATAAACCACTTATATTCACTTATCATTTTATGGACAAATATGGTTAAAACGGATCTATGATACATTGGATGCGACACAAAATGATCAACGCAACACGTATTGTGGACGTGCTGGAGTCACCGAATTGAGCAAAAGCAAAGAAGACAAAACAGTGTGTCCGTATATGTTTGACTTCTATCACTTCGACAACGCTTTTTCTAGTAGGTCTAACATGGTGTAACATGTCTAACCTAAGAACCCCCACCAACCCTTCACTCCATCTAAACCCAAACTGAAAAGTCATGATTTTGCCTCAATTGGATTCACCCTGTCGTGCACATTAGCTCGCCAGGGATCAGTTGAGCCATGAACAATACCCCCATTCCCATCCCATGACATCCTGAATTGGTAATGCTTGATAATTGGATATCCTGTTGATGCTTATCATAATCCTCAATCAACATCAATAAACCATTAAAACCCAGTTTAGTCTAACATCAATAATCGTGAATAAACATCACTAAACATCAATAGACATAAACAAACCTCGACATCCTCAACAAAGCTCAACCAACCTCAATAAACATCCATAAATCCAACAAATTCACCCATCAACAGGGTTTCTTCATGGCTCAGTTCATCTGAAAGGAGTGATACGTCGAAAAGGGTGTCTTCAAGGACGTCGAGGTATCAGGCGTGCAGCATTTGAACTCGAACATGGAGGCACCCAAAGGCCTCAAAAACATGTCAGTTGGTGGGATGAAAATCATGGTACATCTCCAAATTGATCGTATTTTTAAAGGGAATATGAGGATAAACTATAATAAACCTGTGGATTTAGGGGTAAAGAAACTGTTTAAAGCAGCCGAACAAACAAGGGATCTCGGGGGTGGTATCTGGGTTGAGATCAGCGGTTGCTGAAAAAAAAATATCACGGCGATAGTGTGGAAATGTTGCATTTGGTCTACACATGCTCAGATTGAAATCATGTTTTCAGAATATGATATGAGAATCATTGGATCATTCGTAAACTATTAGTATCTCATTAGTAAAGTATTAGTATCTTATTAGTATCCTAATATGTTTAAAGTAAATTTTGAGTATATCATCCTATTGACATTAGGATCCTATTATTAGTACATAATGATTTATTGTCATTAGTATTAGTATATCATAGTATATCATCCTAAGCCGCCTGCCTGCGCTTCGAGCAAGAAAGGAGCAATGGAATGCACAACAAGATCACGGCCTTGGCGTTGGCACCAGAGGGATGGAGGTTCCATAAATGGGGGATCCCCAAAATGGTTGGTTTATGCTGAGTATAAAGGACATATCCTATTAGATAGATGATTTCGGGGTACCCCCATATAAAAATTAGGACACTTCTATAAATAGTTGAGTTTTTGTTTGTGTTTGGCATCGTGTTTGGATTTCGTATTTTTCTGGTTGGTTTGGAAGAAAATCATCAAAATATGCACGAACAAAGCTGCGGATGATAGCCACCAGTCACCATAATCCATTTCTGACTTAAGGGAGACATATGCCCGGCAAGCCATGCTTTGTTGATCCTTCTTTACCATACAAGTATATAAATAAATCTCCCATGAACACTTTTTTAGGATCATTCTAGCAACAACTGTTAGGTTGCTTAGTTGTTAGGTCCGGGGGCTAAACAAGCGTTTTGAGATTGTTTTTTCTTCCAGTATGCAACAAGCGTTTTACACCGTTGGGTCAATGTGTAAAACGCTTCTTGCAAAAAATGCTACCTGTCCAGAAATGCATTTTTCCCATGTCACGCCACCCCTAGCGTGTTTAGGCTTGGGCATGGATCTTGTTTTAAAGATCTTGCCATCTTTGAAAGATTGTGCCATCTTATGGCAAGCCAAACTGCTGTTGGCTAAACAGAATCCCTAAAGGAAGTTGGCCATGCTTCTCTGTTTCTTCGTGTCCACCTCCTTTTTCTTTGGTTTTTTCTCTTTTTTCTCCTTCTCAGTCTTCTCAGGTTTCTCCTTTTTTTCATTCTTGTCCGGCTTGGACTTTGTCAGCTTCTCCGTTGCCATATTATTCTATACTATACTTTACTATACTATACTTACTATACTATACTATTCTATACTATACTTCACTATACTCTCCTACACTTTACTAGACTATACTTTACTATGCAAAGCTCTCTACTAGACTTTAATAGTACCATACTGTACTATACTATACTAAGCTCTACACTATATATATATAAATAAATAAATAAAAATAAATAAATAAATAAATATAAATGAATATATAAATTTATGTAGACGGCTTATGAAATACTTAAAATTTTTTTATAACACAATGAATACAAACTTGGTGAAAACCTGGTGAACACCTGGTGAAATTTAGAAACTTGGTGAAAACCTGGTGAAAACCTGGTGAAATTCAGAAACTCAGTGAACACCCAGAAACCTGGTGAAAACCTGGTGAAAACCTGGTGAAATTCAGAAACCCAGTGAACAAACAGAAAACCTGGTGAAAACCTGGTGAAAACTTGGTGAAATTCAGAAACTCAGTGAACATCAAGAAACCTGGTGAAAACATGGTGAAATTCAGAAACTTAGTGAACATCCAGCAACCTGGTGAAAACCTAGTGAAAACCTGGTGAAATTCAGAAACCCAGTGAACAAACAGAAAACCTGGTGAAAACCTGGTGAAAACTTGGTGAAATTCAGAAACTCAGTGAACATCAAGAAACCTGGTGAAAACCTGGTGAAAACAGCAGCTGCGCCAAGAATTCGCCCAGTGGCCAGCCCAGGTGATTGAAGCCAGCTGTTGTCTGCAAAGGCCTCTCTCTGGTCACCATGTGGGAAGAAAAAATTGTAGGCGACGCAAGAGTCCCTGGTGAGGAGGTTGCCCTTTTCCAGGTCCTGAAGCTCTTGGTGCATGCGCAGTGCCACAAAACCAACGGTGGTGAACTTCTGGCTAAAATTGTATTCGTCCACTCCAGGGTCTGTTCCAGACTCTTCTCGGCTTCGACTTGGCATCACAGCACAGACCATGAAGTTGCTTGGCCCGAAAACTTTTGCCATTCCTGCAGCCACGGTTGCATACCTTGTTGTTGCCAACTGAAATGGCCAAATGCAAATAACATTGCATGCTGCATTCAATGCCAGTGGCAAGTAAGTGTCGCAATTAGGTCTGTGAATGTTTGAACTATTTCCTGTTGATCCTTTTGATATTTGGTTTGCGCTCGTTTAGCATAGGAAGAGAAAGCGAATCAATCTAAATCCAATATTTTTCTTGGGCACAACGGCAAAAAATGCAATAGACTTTTTTTTATTTGCAACTTAAGCTTCTTGTCCAGCACCAGGCTGTTGCGAGCCTCAGGCACAGGCTGAGAAACAATTGCTCAGTGTGTTTTTTGTTTCAAAAGGCAGCTGTAAATTTGCTGTCTAGTGGAGATTGCCAAACACAAAAAGACATATTATGATATGCCGATTAACATTGGGCACGTTCAGGTCGATCTTGAGCATCACCACATGCTTCCCCACAGCAACGAAAGCACTGGTTGAGGGAGGTGGAACCAGTGGTGGAACATCTTTGGCAGCAGAGGCGCACTCAGGCACGATGTCATTGAGAGTTGCAGCCCGTACATCCTTGCAAAACCATTTCAAATAGGCCTTGACAAGGGAATCCGCTGTGTCCACCTGAGCCAATCGCTTCTTCATTGCCAAGTAGTCCAGCCTCAGATCGGAGAGCAAATGCTTGCCTGAAACCTGGCCTTCAGCATGCACTGGTTTGAATAATACATGCATTTGCAAGATTGATTGCCTGGTCCTGCAATGGCAAAGGAAACAGTGCTTCAGAATAGAAAATATCAGGGCAACTCCCAGCTATAGTTGCTTGCCTTACTCCTCATGTAAGAAATGCGGCTGAAATAATGTGAGCTTTACGCATGTTTCAATGCTGAAAAAAGAAAAAAAGGACGAGTTTGACAATGTCAAGTAACCTGTCCTTCAGGTGGGAGTGTCCTCGGCTTGCTCTTTCGATGGTCTGCAAATCACGTTTCAAGAGAGTTTCGAAAGACTGCTGCTTTGCTGCCCACAAACGATTGTCTGCCTCCTCGATCTGCTTCTCCATTGCCACATTGGCCTCCTCTGCGTCCATGCTCCTGAGGTCCTCGACCATTGCAGCATGAAAAACCTGCGGGAAGCTTGAGACCGCGTCGCACACCGATTGGTCCAGGCTGTCGGACTCCAAGATGGCCTTCGTCACCATGTCTGCATCTGCTTTCTCCCCATGCTTCTGCACCAAAAGCAGATCACCTTGCGATAGATGGCAAGCTTCTCCGAATTGGGGCGCAGCCTCAGCAAATGCATAGGAAATTGAGAGTGGTGATACCTTTTAGTGACTTTGCTTTAGATTGGATGTTATATATGTATAGTTGAAATATAGATATTTTATATACATATATTTTTTTCCTCCCACAGGGCTCCACAAGTTAAACTGCCTTTGTTGTATCTGGCCTATCTCATGGCAAGCCAGTCAGCTAGTAGAATTAGCTCTCTGCCTTAGCAGCTGTCATTTGTCATTGCAGTCATGCACCTACATGCCATGACAAGCGTGTCATGGGTCAAAGTCCAAAAGCCTGGATGTAAAGCAAACCTCTGAACAAGGGGAACTAAACATTTTTCATCACCTTCTCCCCATGATATATCACCCAATCTTTTATTCAGCTGGGAAGCTGTGCTCGGCTTGCTCCCGGTTTCAAGTTTGCAGCATCGGCCTCGAAGCAGCTGATGATCCTGTGGATAAGCATCGAATGCTCAGCCTCTGTCAACGCTGACTTGTAGTCTGTCTGGACCACCTTGCTCCCCGACGGTGCCATCTTTCTGCAAATGTCTGCAGCCTGGAAGCTTAACAAAAACTACAATGGTCCTGGACCAAATTGTGCATCAAGATTCGTCCCCGCTACAGAAAAACAGGGGTTGAACACATCAACATAATAACTACATCCAGTCTATATACGAGCTGAGCTGGAGGGTTGACAAGAGCGACTGACAACAATGACGCATATTGAAGGTGCTATTGGTGTTTTGTTGCAAGGGTCAAAAGCAACAAGGGTGAGGGCTTACAAGGTTCCCATGAAAAACTGTGATGGAAAAAGGAACAAAGATGTGAATGTGCGGCTTAGATGCAGATGAAGATGCAAGCTCCTGCTGCTCTGTGGGGAAAGATCCAACTGGAGTCTTGCTGCGAGGCCAAAGATATGGCCATGACAAGATGGCATCACTCAGGGCTGACTGGCGCTGATTCTGGCACCAGCTGCTGTGGGTGACCATCTTCGTCCAAGCTTCGGCCGAGCAGTAACGCAGCACGTTCATGATCGCTGTGCGACGTTCAGTCCCCACCGTGACCGTCTCCTGGTCATCTTGAAGTTGGCCTTCTTGGCTCTCACCCTTGGCCCCCTTCTTGGGCCTGTTTGCCCGTCTTCGCTTTGCCTGGGAATGGAGACATGCAGACCAGGTAAGCAAAATACCAATATCAAACATCAGTCACTCTTTCATCCTCTACCATCTCTGTTTCAGGCGGTCATTGCAATACCTGCTCATGGGAAATTCAGAAACTCAGTGAACATCAAGAAACCTGGTGAAAACCTGGTGAAAACTTGGTGAAAACCTGGTGAAAATTGGAACCTTGGTGAAAACCTGGTGAAATTTAGAAACTTGGTGAAAACCTGGTGAAATTTGGAAACTTGGTGAAAACCTGGTGAAATTTGGAAACTTGGTGAGAACTTGGTGAAATTTGAAAATCTTGGTGAAAACCTGGTGAAATTGTGTGAAGAAGTGTTTTACACATTGAAATTTCACCAAAAGAAGCGGTATTTCATATTTTTTGGTGAAATTTAACCGTTTTCACGGTGAAATTTGATGCAAAATGGTGAAATTGGTAAACTTGGTGAAAACTTGGTGAAAATTGGCAACTCAGTGAAAATCCAGAAACATGGTGAAAACCTGGTGAAAACCTGGTGAAATTCAAAAACTCAGTGAACAACCAGAAAACCTGGTGAAAACCTGGTGAAATTCAGAAACTCAGCGAATATCCAGAAACCTGGTGAAAACCTGGTGGAGACCTGGTGAAAACCTGGTGAAATTCAGAAACTCAGTGAACATCCAGAAACCTGGTGAAAACCTGGTGAAATCCAGAAACTCAGTGAACATTCAGAAACCTGGTGAAAACTTGGTGAAGAATAAACACAGCTTGTGGCTCCATGAACGCCAAGTGAAATTCAAACAGCTGGCAAACATTTGGTGAACTATGTAAATTTGTTGCACACCTGCTATAAAACAATTCTTGGAGTCTGTTTGAACCAGGTAAAACAATCTTGAATTAGTTAAATCCTGTACCAGCTGGAGCTGGGGCTAGGCTGCGGGGCTCCATGGTTTCAACACTTTCTGAGCTAAAATGCCACCAAATACCCCCAACATGCACCACATTTGCCAAACATCAGCCTAATATCGCCTGCCAATGGCCCAACTTGGCCCCACATAGGCCCAACATAGACCCTCAAATTGCATCTCAAAAAACCCTCAACAACATCTTCTTTGGTTGGAGGTTTTTTTCTCTCCCCTGAGACCTCCATAGTATTGGCAGCAGGGGTTTGTATATATATATAAGGGGTATGTAAGGGGTTATGTATACATAAGGGTTATATAAGGATGCATTGTATATTAGTATATATGGGATAGTACCTCCAATTAAGTTAGTTTGGATGACCAACTATTTGAATAAAATTCTGGAAGAAGCGTTTTTCCATAAAAATACATATCCTATACCCAACAAGCATTTTATATTTTGCTCCCTAATGGCAAAACGCTTCTTCCAAACCGAAACTACATTACCCTCTGAAACACAGCCCGCAAGCAACTTAACAGCAACAACTACTCCATGTGCGAATCTATCTATCGATCCGTCCATACATCCACCTATCCATCAAACTCACTCACTCACTCACTCCCTCCCTCCCTCACTCACTCACTCACCTAACTAATATTAACACCAGGACTTCCATTAAAGCCATATCTACACTGAGGGCCACACCAATGCAAGTAGGTCGCAAATGAAGGCCCACGAAAACTTGGACCTTGGCCACGCAGAATCTCTGCAGAAGTTGGTGCGCACGCGCTAGGTTCTTCGGTGCCAACGAGGAGGCTGAGAGCCACCAAAGCTTGGTATTGGAGTCCTTACTTGAAGTTTCATATCTTGTCATAAGAAAATCATCAACCAACGGGGGTTATCTAGAAACCTCTGAACCTATGGGCTCTTTCGCTATGGTTTCTCAGGTGGCATCGCGTTACGAAGCCTTCTTGCAACCACTTTCATGATTTGAGTGCTCTTGAGCCTCTAGGGTTCGGATCTTGCTGATTCTCGGCACCCTGTCGTTCCTCAACAGCGTCTAGGGCTTGTTTTTTTCTCCGCACCTTGTCGTTCTTCAACAACCCACATTTCAGGCAGCTTCAATTGCAACATTGTTCCTTGTATTTGTTCTAATGAAATATAATATAACCTGTTGGGTTGATTAACCCTTCTCAAACTACACAAGGCATCAAGGCTGTGTTAAATTTATACACCGATATGAAAAGGGGATGAAAGGGAAACACCTGGGATTCCTTTCCTTCCCGCCTTAGTGCTTTTTGGAATCCACAAACGGTTTTTGATGTTTTTTGCATGTCAAATGCCAGCAAGGATTTTGCTGGTCAATTCCTCAAAGAAGTCCAAGTTCTGCATTCAAAAAACGCGTTACATATCGGCTCTTGCACCAGCAAAAGCTGATGCTGCAACCCCTCCAAAATGAAGAAATCTGTCTCAACACCATGATGCCTGAAACCCCTGAGACCCCTGTACAGTCCAAGCTCTGCACAAACCCATGATATAGTAACAATCCGATTCTCCAGGTTTTGCACCTCGACCGCCATGCAGAAGTGAGGTTGTTTCATATCATCATAATGATAGCACTGCAACATTTATATGTATATATAATTATACTCATAATAATCACAATACTCATAAATTAGTATAAATCATACAATCATTTATAGTCAAAATATAATCTATATAATCATAATATCATATATACTATCTTGAATAGTAGTCATAATCAGTAAAAATAATCATTATCATCATCATGGCTTGGATGGTCAACTCTATGGTCTGAGGGGAGAGCTGCTGGCACCTGGCCGTGGCATGCCGTGGTGCCGGAGAATACCAGCTTGTCATAAGCGCTGTTTATACGCCATAAACATCCATAAAACAGTGAAACAGCTGAATACATGGCTATGTAAATAGTGATTACATATGAAAACAGTAGTTGTTCCTATGATTTTGATCTTGGCACGATCAAAACGCAGAACGCAAAACGCGCGTTCCGGAATGCGCGTTCCGAACGCAAGGGGGGTTTATAGTGTTTTTTTGGCTCCAGAAGCCTCCCAATCCTTTTTTTCCTCCTTGCGAAAAGGATCTGCTGTGTCACATAGAGGTTTTCAACAGTTTTTCAAAATCTTCTTGGACCTCTGTTAATAGCACTACGCTAAAATTTGTGAAAGGTTTGAACCTTTTTCTTTCAGAGAAAAAAAGGATCCGGGAAGGAAACCTAACTTGCCCCATAAACCTGGTGAGGCCAGAACCTTTTTTGCTTCAGCCAAAAAAGTGTCCGGAGTTGGGAAGATCAACTTTCTGGTGGCTAAGAGCTCTCAAAATCATTTTTTATTTGGGGGGAAAAAGGTTTCAGTGTCCAGGCCCAGGAAATACATTAACTTTGGATTATTGGAAAAAGGATCCACTCAGAACGCGCGTTCCGGAACGCGAGTTTTTAAAACGCGCGTTCCGAACGCCAAACCGTACCGAAGGAACATGCTAAGACAAACATGTTGATCTTTGTGTTGCACATATCACATATATATATATATATATATGTATATATATATAATCCATCTGGAAGTCAGTTCGATACGGAATCTTTGAATATGTTTCAATAGTTCGAAATAAAACTGATCCATAACATCCCTTGACCATTTCCTATAGTGCCAGTTCGGCCCACATGGCACTAAGGGTCAACATTGGGTACTCCACATCGGATGAGAACTTAAAACTTGCCAAACATCATCAAACAGATCTGTACTTTAGAATGGTCTGGTGAAATAAACAGTGATTTCCCCGGTTCTGAGTGCTGAGATGGCTACAGTGACTGGCCTTAGGCATCCTTATGCTCTCTCTCTCTCTCTCTCTCTTATGCTCTCCTATGTCAATCAACATCAGTATCAACAACCTCCAGGCCCTGCCTAAGCTGCTCAAGGCATGTCTGATCTTCAGAAACAAAGCGCCATGACTCGGCTGCGCTGCCTGGATCGCTTGAAGGAAATATCTCAACAGGAAAGCCAGGTAAAAACCAGCTAGTTCTACAGCAGTAGATGTTCACTTACAAATACTTACAGTAAGAAGTGAATTGGGGCTCTCGCTCCAAAATCGAACCAAGCCGAAAAAGAGCTTGGCTCCTTCCAATTGCTGCAGGCATGATCCAAGCCAAACCCAGCCTGCTGAACGGGTGCCTCATCGTGCAAGCCTTAGAAGTTATGAGGATACGGCTCCGCTGCATGCTTGTCATGATGAATTTGGGATGATTTTTATCCAACAAAATCAGGGTGATTTCATCAACAACAATTGCGGATTTAGGTTCCAGTCATATAGGTTGGATCATGTTGGATCTATAATTCTACAGATTGGATCAGATTGGCGGTTTGACTCCATCCCTAGAACAGGAAAAAAACACAACTGGCGATCAATCACAACTCCGCATGCTGGCCCTTACACCTCTGCAAACCAAGATGGCATCCAAAAAAATGCAATGTCCAAAGGAACAACATCTTCCAGACTTCCAGACCTCTTTCTTCATTTATGCAGTTCCAATGGGGTAAGCGAAGATATTTTATAGGTACTGTACGAAATATTAACAATGTTTTCCCATCTTGAAATGATAATGATCTACAAATAGTGGCTTTTCCACATATCTATATCAATCTACTGGAAGGCTTTTTTCCCCATATATGAAGAATTATAGGTTCATACACCATATCTAATCTACACTTAGAAATAGTGGTATTTTCCACTACCCTCTGGTAATTTAACATAGCCATGGAAAATCACCATTTTTAATAGGTAAACCATCTATAAATGGGTCATTTTCCATGGCTATGTTAAATAACCAGAGGGTAATATCTATACCATTTCCAGGACCCAGTGGCACTGCCCCTTCTGGGTCGGTCCCTTTGAGTCGCACACCATGGCTACCGGCGGCCGCAAGGGGTGTCAGCACCTCATTTTTCAAGGGGACAGCTATGACCTGCCCGGCTACGGGCTACAAGTCCGGTGTCATCAAACATGGCAAGCTGGGAATTCCATGGAATTCCTCTATAAATGGTTTTATATATTAATGGGACAATCATCTATACCAGAGGGTGATTTTCCAGCAAGCCATGTTTGAGAGGGTATCATATTCCATCATGTACCTATAGGTTGGAGCAACTCTCACAAGTGGAGAAGGATTGGGAATATTTATGAGCCAATATTGACTAAGGGTAATCTAGATCCCAAACATTGACGATTCAAGTGAAGATGTAATCCCTTCCCCCTAATATGGAATGGCCATCAGAAACCACTGGTTTGGTTTTGGATCGGTTCTTTTCAGGGTCTGAAGGATTGGATGCATTTCATATTACTTTGGCGGAAGGGATTATTGAGGAATATGAACCAATATTGACCGTCAATGATAAACTAATACAATCTCTATCTGAAACAATCACTTGATTATGCTTTGTTGAGACACCAAATTAATGGTATCAACGTTCATTTTGAGGCTGCCAGAATCTATCCAGAGACATCCATAACCCACCTGCCAGCCTGTTCCGCTGATCTGGGTCTCTGGGCCACCAGTGCCCAAACCGTGAAGAGCGATGTCTTCACCATCGCATCGCGTTTCGGTATCGGGTGCCTTGACGAGAAGACACTGAGCCAGGCCGGTGTGCGGATGACATCCGAAGGTCGCGAATGGAATGGAACAGCTGTCAACATGTGATAGCTGAGACTTCATATCCTAAAAACATCTTAAAACCTTCAAGAGTACTTGCACGGGCTAAGAAACAAACATGTTGTGATCCAACACATTCTGGCACATGCAGCCATCAAAATCAATCATCTGCCACCATGAGCTGCCAGAATCTATCTTCCTTCACAGGCCCATATCACCTACAGGTAGAACTCCGACGGGTTTCAAGCAGAAATGTTCACAAAAAACATCCAAGTGAGCTGAATTCCCAACTGGATATCTCTGGCGACGCAACAAACTCCAAGTCGACTCTGGCACTTTTGCGCACCGCTAGTCCGAGTCTTCGGCTGCCGCCTGTGACGTCATGGGGATGACTATGGTCCAGCACTAAATGACTTGTTGCAATCATAAGATAACACAATCAATCTATAGACACTTTTTCAATCAAGACATATCAAGACTATCATGATCCCACACAAATTCCACGAAGTCTGGATCTCCCAAACCGATTTTAGATCTTTACTTTCCTATATTGTTTTTCTAAGATATACATTATTTAGTTATTTTTCTATAGGTATGGCCCGATTTCTCAAATTTCCCCCCCAACAACAATCTATGAACATCATATAGGTATATCCCTAAATCATCCATGTGAATGGGATTTTCCATTCTAAACCATCCAGCTATTGGGGTACCCCCATTTATGGAAACCTGTTCCCCCGTAGGTGGCCTTCTGACCCCGGCCACGTCCACGGCCACGGCCGCGGCCGCGCTTGGAGACGGTCGCTGCCGTCGCCGAACGGGCGCTGGTGGGCGGCGCTTTTCGCTTGGCCTGGGCGGAATCAACCAGGAGAGCTGGAAATGGAGGTTTTCACATGGTTTCACCATCAAGAACTACCCTCTGGTAAACTAACAGTTTGCTATTGAAAATGGCCATAGAAATAGTGGATTTTCCCATTAAACATGGTGATTTTCCATAGCTATGTTAAATTACCAGAGGGTATAGAAAATACACTAGGAATATTAAGTCGGATTTCATGGAAATCTGTACTAAACCTGGGTTGATTCCCGATCCAAGATGATACAAATACCCTCTGAGGGAGTATCGGGGGTATAATTTCGGTGGCTAAGTACTTTCTCAGGAAATAGATGGATCCTATAAGAGATTAAGTAGCAAATGGTCTCCCCGAATCAATTGCCCAGGGTTTCATTCATCCAAGGTTGACCTTAAGCAACATAAATGTGCTATCTACTTAACCAGCAAACATTAACATTGATGTTTAACCAAGAAAAACCAGAAAAAGTGTAGTCTAAGCCTGCAAAGTCAGAGTGAACCAACATGGCAATTGGACATCCCATGTAAATAATGATATATCTAATGATTTAATGGTATTATCACATATATATACATATCATGTATATATATACATATCATATATATATATATATATATGCATATCACATATATATATATATACACAGTATATAGTAGTATCATATACATAAATGATGGATCTTCCAGCCATGTTTTGATTACCAAAATCTCATCAGGGCATCCGCACGGTGGAAGCACCACTCAGCAGCTCCAGCTGCGCTTCTTTGGCGTGAACCTTGCGGCTTAGCCCAGCACCGAATCTTGCCCTATGGAGCTTTGAATGGGACAAATGACAAATCATCTATATGAATCATCTATAAATCTATAAAGGCTGGGTTTACTATATGACTTGTTTTTTGTTCCCCACCTGCCAGGTGAGGGTTGTTAGATTTTATCTAAGTTGCCTTCTCCTGCCTGCCTCCTCTCCTCCTCTCCTCCTCCTCTCGTCGTCCTCCTCCTCTCGTTGTCCTCCTCCTCTCGTTGTCCTCGTCGTCCTCGTTGTCCTCCTCGTCCTCCTGCTCAACTGCGACTCGCGATCCACAGTGTTCGCTGACCGGCCCAGTGTTCCTGCAAACCACGACCATCCACGCCCAGTGTTCCCTGCCGGACCTCAACCACGACCATCCACGCCCAATGTTCCCTGCCGGACCTCAACCACGACCATCCTCGCCCAGTGTCCCTGCCGGACCTCAACCACGACCATCCACGCCCAGTGTTCCCTGCCGGACCTCAACCGCGAGTATCCACGCCAAGTGTTCCCTGCCGGACCTCATGTAGGAAGATATGGGACAAAGAATGTGCAGAAGAAAGTTAGAAAGAATGTCAGAAAGAATGTCAGAAGATATGCCAGAAGATATGCCAGATAGAATGCCAAAGAATGCCAGATAGAATGCCAGAAGATATGTCAGAATATATGCCAGAAGATATGCCAGATAGAATGCCAGAAGATATGCCAGATAGAATGCCAGAAGATTTGCCAGATAGAATGCCAGAAAATTGCCAGAAGATGCCAGAAGCCAGAAGATATGCCAGATAGATATGCCAGATAGAATGCCAGAATGCCAGAAGGATAGAAGAATGCCAGAAGATATGTCAGAATATATGCCAGAAGATATGCCAGATAGAATGCCAGATAGAATGCCAGAAGATATGTCAGATAGAATGCCAGAAGATATGCCAGATAGCCAGCCAGATAGAATGCCAGAAGATATGCCAGAAGATATGCCAGATCATATGCCAGAAGATATGCCAGATAGAATGTCAAATAGAATGTCAGAAGATATGTCAGATAGAATGCCAGAAGATTTGCCAGTAAGAAAATGTATAAATGTCATGGTGGGGATCACACGAAGTAAAGTAATTTTTTTGTTTATGGTTGTTTATTGAACATGGCAATTATTCTATAGTGATTGGAATGATTTGGAATGTGATTCCCAAGTTGTTGATCTGAAAATGCCACCAGATTTGCGGAAATTCATCAAATCGGGCATATGATATATCTATATCTATATATATATCTCTATAATATATATATAAATAGATATCCGATATATATAATTCACAAAACCCTTCAATTTTCAGGTGCCAATTGGGCCATTGATCCAGCCAGTAGCCTGTCCTAAGGTGAGCGCCTTTCCACCAGTCTCCATGAAGCACTCCCAGCCTGGCGAGGCGATTTCCCAGCATATCATGGAGGACATCCTTGATTCTATAGATTACTTAACACATCCATCTATCCATCCATCCATATGTCTATCCATCTGTCTATCTATATCTATCTATCTCTGTCTCTATATATATATATATAATATATCTATATTATATATATATTATCTATATCTATATATATATATATTATCTATATATACATATATGCATCAAAAAGGGCTGTGCAGCACACATCCACCCTGCCAAGAGACATCCGCTTTTGGCATCAAAGTCTCCAAGACCTTTTTGGGTGACGACTTTTCGGGTCGCAGCTGCTGCGGTGGTGCAACGATGGGTACCCTCTGGTAATTTAACATGGCTATTGACAATGGCCAGTTATAGTGGATTTTCCCATGAAACATGGTGATTTTCCATAGTTATGTTAGTTTACCAGAGGGTAAACCTCTAAAATCGCATCCCATAAAATATGTGTTTTGTGAAAACATGATTTTCTTCAAAAATCAATTCCAAAATTGATGTGTTTCTCCTAAAATCCTTTTCCAGTAGAACAACAATGAACCCAGATTCCGAAGCTATTTCGTTGTGGTTGTTCTTGTTGAACATCTGACAGTCCTCCACATTTTCCCGTGATTTCAAACCATCACCAGCTGTTGGCTTTCTACCCAGACATCCCTTGCTCCTGGGCGTTCCAACGTCCCAGCTTTCCGTTGAGTGTCGGCTTCTCGCAGTCTTTCAACCGCACCTAGTGGGGGTTTAAGTCACAGCTGGTGGGCAGCCAACAATGGAAGCTTCAAGGAACCCTAAAGTGCCCCAAAGAAATCAAACCTGGATATATCAAGAAGGTATAGGTTTTTTTTGGGGTCAATTCTGTGTAACTTAACAGAGATTATGCTGGTAAATTTGGGTCCCAAGAAGAGGATGGTCATTGACTCATCTCCACTCCCGCCTTGCAGCCGGTCTGCGGCCCGTCCTTCTTGGCCTTGTGTTGCCAAGGTCGGTTGCCCCGACAACAACTACGGAGCAACAGCAAGAAAGACATCTTCTTGTCACATCTCACAGAAAGGCTTCAAACTACCAATACCATCTGGTAATTTAACAGTTTGCCATGGAAAATCACCATTTTTAATAGGTAAACCATCTATAAATGGGCCATGTTCCATGGCTCTGTTAAATAACCAGAGGGTAACCGTTATTGTTGCAGCTCTATCCATAATCAAACCAGAATGCGGTTTGGTGAGGTAATAAATCCCGGTATGCAATGAAATCAAACAGTATGAAATACTAAGCAACATAAATCTGAACAAACTAGTCTTTTATAAAATAGCTCATGATTGTTAGCAAATCTGTCAGGTATGTGTATGAACTGTTGACAGTTTCGCAGAAAAGCAATGATGGATATTCTATAATTTCATGATTTCATGTATAATTAGATGTCTTTTGCCTGATACTTTCCATGTAGGTGTGGGTTTCCCGATCTTTTCCCTATGTTTTTCCACATGTTTCTCCTCCGTTTTCACCTTCCCAGCCCCGCTTCCCCACCAAGACACCAGAGACGCCGGGTCCGCCTTTGGCGCCGCTGGCGTTTTGGCCGGCGAGGCCGCCTCTGGCTGAAGACCCAAGGCTTTCATGAGATCCTGGCAGGAAATCCGGGGCCCCAAAACGAGGGAAGCTATGAGGGTTGAAACCTAAGGTAAGGATGGTTAAGGATGGTTAAGGAAATGTTAAGGATGGTTAAGGATGGTTAAGAAAATGTGAAGGATGATTGAGGGGGGTAGACAATGTTGAGACATGCTATAGCAAAACTCGAGGATCGGATCTGACTATGTGAAGCAGAAACCGATGGTTCGAGGGCGGCCCCAAATGGGAATACACAATGACCAGTTGCCCATGTGTTGGGGGAACCTTTGGTAATTCGTTACATAGCTACAAGTATATGTTATATAATAGAATTGGTATATATAGATGACCTATATTTACTTTGGAGGTATGACCTATATTGATACTTTGGACATCTTTGGATACTTTACCTATGAATCATATATCCAAAGTATCAATATAGGTCATACCTCGAAAGTAAATATTAATATGGGATACATATACTTAATCAATATATGGTATACCTATAAATTTATAGATTTCATCATGGTTTAGCCATGAAAATCATGGTGATTTTCCGGCACTGCGGCACCGCCGTCCTCAGCGAAGGCATCCTCCACTGCAGATGCAGCCGCTGGTGCTGGGGCGCCTGGCACGTTTGATTCTTCTGGGAGAAAGCTTTGTTATCCTAAGGGTAAACTACGATAGATGAGGAAACTATGGACCATAAATTGGAGAACGTACCGTTTTTAAAATGGTGATGTTCCACATCTATGTTAGTTTGTCCTAGGGTAGATCTTTTAATACTGCAAATTGGCCCCGGATCATGTGCTACAATGAGTATCAAACACAAACAGATCCTACACATTGTGGACCAAGCGAGAAAGTATAACTTCCTGAAAGAGAAAAACAATGATGAATCCATACATCACAAGGATACTTTTCTTCATCCTACTGTCAGCAAAATAAAATATTCACAAATTGATATGCTCTCATCTCTCCCCGTATTTTTTGCGCTGCCCTGCCCCCCCCTACTGAGTAGGCCCTACTGTCAGGACATCACCAATTGGTGCGCACCACTTGCTACAACGAGCCACGACATACCCTGGGTACCTAGTTTAATGAATCAGGCTCCAATACTGTGTTCTCATAGCTTGGGGTAAATGGTGTGTCATTGAAGTTTAAAAAATGAAGGCATTCCATAGATTCGTTCCAGTTTTGACCACAGAATTATGAAGAAACTGCGTGGCAGAACGGCAGAACCAAGATATTTTACAACATTCAAATACATTTAACCGGATGAGACTGGACATACTAACATGAGCAAAAACTCCTGCGCGGATTGGTTCCCCCGATTCCAATGGTTTACAGTTTACAGGTGCCCCCTTTATTTTGTTCTCAGACAAACCAAATTGATGCAGATCTTTTATAGACTAATGGAGACTAATTGAGACATGTTTTTTTATACAAAAATCGATCTCTGTGCTTGTATTCCTGATTCTATCCCTGGCTATATCTCATGAGATACACATGGGCTATCCCCTTATTGTTTGCGATGTCCCCACATAATACCCCCATCAATATCCACAGCTAAACCACCAATTTCCATGGTGTGAAATACGAATTATTTATCCCCAGAAATTGGCGCCTCCCCAGCGATGTTACTTGGTTTATAAACCCCATTAACATCCATTAACCATAGATGTACCCCATGGATCCAAGTAGCTTCTCAGGAGATGTTTGGATCCATGACGGGACTTTGGTGCACCATCTTGCGGCATTGTACTGGATACCCATGGGACTATGATGTGGGTGTTTGATCTTATTTAAGGTATTAATATTTGTATAAATATACCAATCATGTGCTACCAGTATCATGATGTGTGTACTGATATATGTGTACTGTTTCATTGACTTATCATATCCTATAAATAGACTTATCATATCCTGTATCCTATGTGTACATATGTCTATGGTTAATGGGTGTTTTATAAACCAACTAACACTATTTCAATCCCCTGCCTGGCACAAAGGCGCTGGGAGGACATTTGCCACGCAACCTCCGCCTGGGAGACATGGGTCGACGGGTCGACATGGGTGATTCCACCATGGTAAGATATGGTTATTATGTGGTTAATATATGGTTATGATGATGGTTAATGATGGTTAATAATAATCTGGTTGGTGGTTTCAACCTACCCCTCTGAAAAATGATGGAGTTCGTCAATGGGAAGGATTATGTATCCCATATCTGAAATGGAAAATATAAAATTCACGTTTGGAATTTGGAACCACCAACCAGAACAATTTGGATTTCACCAAGAAACACTGAGGGATATTTCATAACTGATGATAACTGATAAAACTGACCAACATAGGTGATCAAAATGTCAAGTCTATGTTGCTTTGTCTGCAAATAGGGCATCTCCCTCCAAATTTGATGCCTCATCATCATGTTCTCCTTTAAAGTGGCAACTATGGGGTATCTCCCATGTTTGTGTTTCCCTAAGATGTCCAAGTTGATCCCATAAAATATGTCCAAATTCCACGGAATTTGAACATGTTTAAACCCCAACTCACTTCCTCCTTACCCTCTGGCAATTTAACATAACTATTGAAAATTGCACATTTGTAGTTGATTTACCAAAAAAAAAATGATGGTGATTTTCCTATGTTAAATTACCAGAGGGTAATCTATCTTAATCCACCTGGAATCCATCAATCCAGGTGGAATCCATTAAATTTCCATTAAATGGATAGATTTATTAAATGGAACATGGATTCCAGCCACCTATCCATTCAATCCATTAAATTTCCATTAAATGATAGGTGATTTCCCACCCAGTCACTGCCTCTTGGGCGCATTGGCCGCTGCATTGGCCGCTTCCAGCGCCGCCTGCTGCATCGCCTCCTGCGCCTTCTTGGCGGCCGCCAGGGCGGCTTGACGCGCCTCGTACTCCAACAGGGCGGCGCGCACCTGGTTTCATATCCCATATGCTCCATGAATGGTATATTTACCTACAAATTTGCATCATTTATGGGGTAAATGTTAGCATATATACCCTACATGGAGCCTATGGGTATGGGATTGAACTAAGAAACATGGTGATGTAATTGTATTTAATTGGGATAAAATTAATTGATGTTTCCCATTGATGGGGGTTTCATGAAATTCTTAAAATTGGGGGGATCACCTTAAAACCATGGGAATATCATGGGGATATAGTTGGAATATCATGGGAGGAATCATAATTTCTTGCCGATGTCATTGGAGTTTTCAGGATTGAAAACTTACAAAAACAAATACCACCAAAAACATATAACAGTAAAACTCTATCAGAATAGTGATAGATTGATTTGTTTTTGCGATTTTGTTTGAAGAACATATAATATGGCAAAAGAGGAAATCATGATGAACTATAATTGTTTTTGAACTTTAACAGTTCAAATCATGGCTTTCTGAGTTTTCCAATGAAATCTGGATTTAAGAAACGTCAGGTGGATCTGACAGTTCTTAAGAAATGGCTCATCACCAGAAAATGTCACATTTTCCCAGCTCTTCATGGGTCCTCAAAGGTAGCACCCCAATGTGTTACAGAAATGGTGAGTTGACCAACCAATGGACCACGGTGGATTTTTCAAACACTGCGAGTCATCCATGAGGTCGTGGATAGAGGCCGTTGTGACCAACCAACTTGTGACACAACGTGGAGGTGCATCCCATCGTAGTCGACAACCCACAGAAATCACCCAGAAAAATGTGGTAAAGCCAATTATGAACCATCTCCAAAATCATCAATGGCTAGTATAAACTTATAAACCATCCCCTAAAGCCTAAATGATAAGTTTATTAAATATAGTCAATATAGTCATTATATAATCATTGGCTTTCCCACATGAATCTAACTGGGGGATATTCCAATTCTACTCTAACTGGGTTACCCTCTGGTAAACATACAAAAAACTATGGAAAATCACCATTTCTTATGGGAAAATCCACTATAAATGGCCATTTTCAATAGCTATGTTGAATTTTCATATGGCAAAATAACCCACATCGAGTTCCCACCACTTCGCCTCGCGCACGTTGCGATAGCGGTTGCCCTCCGGATCCACGAATTCGCGCATCTCCTGAGACAGAACGGGTGGATGGGGAAAAAAAACCCAAGCATCTTGAACCCACACGAGATGGACACGTTTGGTGCTTAATAGTTAATAGTGGAAAATGAAATAATAATATAATATATAATAATATATAAAATATAATAATATATAATAATATATAAAATATAATGATATATAATGATATATAATAATATATAAAATATAATGATATATAATAATATATAATAATATATAATAATATATAATAATATATAATAATAATAATATATATATATATATTAATATATAATAATATATATAATAATATATAATAATATATATAATAATATATAATAATATATATATAATAATATATAATATATAATAAAATATAGTAATATATAATAATATATAATGATATATAATAATATATAATAATATATAATAATATATAACAATGTATATTAATATATAATAATATATAATAATATATAATAATATATAATAATATATAATAGTATATAATAATATATAATAATATATAATGATATATAATAATATATATAATAATATAATAATATGCTTAATAATGGCCAATAATGGTTCGTGAATATGGTGTTCATAATGTACGTAGTATAAATAATGATTGATATGAGATGGTTAATTCTCTCCAGCATTTTGGTGCTGGTAACCCCCTTGCCTTACAAAAAAAGCCCAGCGTAGCCCAGGAAAAACGTCCTTGGGATACTTGTGACATGGTGACCTTCCCCAACCAAACCAAGGTCTACCCTCTGGTAAACTAACATAACTATAGAAAATCACCATTTTCAATGGGAAAATCCACTATAAATGGTCATTTTCAATAGCTATGTTAAATTACCAGAGGGTATACTAAGTCTGTACTATTTACATCTATTTTCCGAGAATCTGGCAGCAAAATTGGGGTAAACAGTAAACATGTCAAATCTATCATATTTCGGTCGGTTTTTTTCCCCCATACATCCCAGCTATTTTGGGTTTCACCGTAACTTCCAGGGTTTTGACTCACAACCCAAACATCACCCGCTCATTCTTCTTTCGCTTCACCCACTCCATGCGCCAACCAGGAGGCAACACCTCGGTTCGGACACCCCCGTGGAGAGTTCCACATGTTGTCGTAAATGGCTCCCTTTGGTTTCACCTCCCCAGCAGGATGAGACATGAAAATAACCCAATACATCCATAATAACCAACAAAAGACAACAACCCATTTCAAAATTTCAGGTTGCTTCATTCCCCAAACTCACGTGGAATCCACAAATCCATTCACAACCACTGCCCATACTGAGGGTGTGAACGACTGGCGCGGGCCCAATTTTCTTGCCCACCAATTCCTGCAGAGACCAGCGGAGTGCCACAGGAGCTGGTCAAACAGGACAGATGGTTCTGTCCGAAAGCAGGAAACAAACAAGATGGCCATCAAAACATCAAACAATGGAGACACTTATTTCTCTAAACGATGGGACAGAAATTGGGTCGTCCACCCACTGTTCATTTTTTTCAGATAACCACATCCATCTTTGAATATTTACCATCAATCATGTTTCAAAATGCATCACTTATTTCCAGATCTAAACATTGGATCAGAATCGCACTTTGCAGTCCCTGAACATTACCATCTGGTTATTTAACATAGCCATGGAAAATCACCATTCTTAATAGGTAAACCATCTATAAATGTGCCATTTCCCATGGCTATGTTAAATAGCCAGAGGGTAAATCCTCTTCGTTTCTCCATGGTTTTCGGACCCGGGTGGTATCTCAGGGCCAATCCCATGGCTTTTTGGAGGCTGGAACCCCAAACTGGCGATGTCATCCCAGGAACAGTCGTCCTTGTCAAGATCTGACGCCTCACTCTCGGAGCTATGCACCTGGTGCTCATGCCGTTGGTGCTGTTGGGGAATCCTCAACACACATTAGGCTAACAATGGATAGTTCATCAAATAACCATAGTTGGTCCTTGATGTTTGATAAAACCTATTGATAAACTATGAATAGCATCTCATCAATTAAGTCTCCATTGGTGCTTTTGATCATCAATAGCTATGAAATAACGATTAATAAAGCTATATAAGTATCATATCAACTAGTAATAGTTCATCATGAATGGCAAAGAAAGTTAATCACGGTCATCTTATGCTTAACGATGGTTAAGGTGAATAACTGACAACACTGGTTAATATATAATATGATAAACCAAATACTTGAACCATCGAATGGACCCTCAAATGGTTTTTTCTCGTTGATTAATAAGATCGTGTTTTATTGGGTTTACCACATTCTATTATACCATTGTATATACGTATATATATATATATATGGGCTATATACACGTGTTGATCATCTGTTTAAATCTTGGTAAACTATACCCAAATTTACCATGCAGATCCATGCAGTATATAAACATAGTGCACATGATTATACACTGTATTCTGCCCTTTGCAGTTGTCAGAACAATACCCAAGGGTCATGGTTCCGGCTGGCCTTCCCATCTTGGAGCACCCCGTACGTGAAAATGGTGGATCAACACCCAAAGAACAAATTCAACAGACATTGAAGGGGGAAAATGGATGAAGATGGCGATAATATGCGGTCACCAAACCCATACATACGTTCTAATGACATGAAACCTGGAATTCGAGTTCCCAGTTTTGAGTATGCTACTGATACTGCAGAACATGCAGCCTGCTGGGTCCAAGGCTGATAAGCAACTGAGGATGAAATGTAAAATGGCCCAGAAAGAACTGCAATTCAGCTACTGTAGCCGGACTGTTTTTTCGGGGTGCTGACATTTGCCAGGATGCCTAGAAGGACATTAACTGATCTTGGATTCTGGCGCTGTCACCACCAAACGCCCAGTTTCCCCATGTCACCACGGTTCCATCTGCCAAGATCGCAGCAAAAGCAGAGCCTGTGCCACAAATCTGCTGGACCTGTTTGAGCTGATCCTGCACTCTGGAGCAGTCACCACCATGATAGGGATCGCCCCAGGTCACCACACTTCCATCAGCCAGAATGGCAGCGAAAGCGCAGTGTGTGGCACATATCTGCCGAACATTCCTCAGCTGACCCTGGACGCTGGAGCAGTCACCACCAAGGTTGGGATCGCCCCAGGTCACCACGCTTCCATCAGCCAGAATGGCAGCACAAGCAGAGCGCGTGCCAGAAATCTGCCGAACATTTCTCAGCCGATTCTGGACTCCGGAGCTGTCACCACCATATGCCGGATTCCCTCATGTCACCACGGTTCCAGGTACCAAGATCGCAGCGAAAGCATTGTGTGTTGCAGAACTCCTGAGCTGTCGCCGAATCGATTACAGTACCCCATGTGGCAATTCTATCACCCCCAACACACCACACGGCAAAGGCAAACCGTGTTGCAGCTATCTTTGGCTGTGCAACAGCGGTAATGCTGTCTCCATCTTGAAGCCCAGAACTTTGAAGATAGTCTTCTGAATCCAACAGCCGCCGGGCGCAGCAAGTCTCAAGAAACCTATCCCAAACGAATGTTGTGCAGCTCTTTTCAGATCAGCAATGGTGCCATGCTGCGAGACCGCGACAGTTTCACACCGTCCGCTCGGCAAGGAGACCTCAAGTTTGATGTGGTCCGCTGGCCGGCGGCTTCTGGGCATGGCACATCCGGGAAGATCTAGCTGAACAAGGATAACCAGGAAAACACAAACAGGGTGTAAAATTCATGGTCTCAAATATCCGCTGTTTCTTTGTTTTTTTTGTTTAATACAATACTGTATAATGATATTGGCGTTGTTTTCCATAATACTCATTGGCCATTGAGATTACATGATAATATTATCTGCATACATATCTGTACACTGTATATCAATAGAATCCAATTGAATGATTCCTGCATGTTGCTACCGTGGGAAAACATGCTGGTTTTGGAAGTTCACACTGCGGTTGAGTACTGCACCCCCTTTGAAAGGTGCTGGGTCAATTGTTTAGCATTCCTGGTCGTGAGCATGCTTGGGAGTAAAACAAACAACTGGCTTGTACCTGAATAGGGAAGATCATCCTCCCACATGATGTTGCAATCAATACTCACAGTTTGGGTTGAATCTTACGCCATGGCATGCATAACTAAGACACCCAGAGTCGCGTACTGATGTCACAATACTATGGTGCTACTTAAGTATCTAGAACCATCATCACAATAAACATGTTGATATCTGCAATCTATATCCATGTATGGTGTTTACCACCCATATACGGGTGAACTATAATGATTCACTATCTTGAAATAAGGCCTTTTGGGGGATAATTCCTCTTGCTAACCATCATTTCCAGTGAGGTCGCAGTCAGGTCCTTATAATTTACCAATGTTTATATGATTGATATATAGATATGGTGTTACCACCCCATCTGTGGACACATATGTTTATCTGCCATGAGCCTCACCATATCTGGCCTGAGGATGCTCTTCCTCTAAGTCCTCCGCCAAATGTGCGAAGACATCTCGGTCCACGGCCTCGATCCACATGGCAAAAAACTGGGGGATTTCTGGTAGAAGTCCTCTGGTTATGACATTCACAGTTTGCCATGGGAAGATCCACCATGTTTAAGAACGGTAAAGCATCTATTTCTATGGGCCATCTATACCATGGCTATGTTAAACAACCAGAGGGTAAGTCATCGGATAGGTTTTTTGGGGATTTGAAGGGAAAGTTGACAGGAAAAGCCTCATGGTAAGGTTTCAATGGTTTCCGGGTGAGATTTTCCCGAAAAAAACAATCCATTGATATAGATCATTGGAATCCAAATACCATAGTAATTACCATTGGGGATTCAGCACTGGACATGTGATTTCAGTATAGGCTAGGAATCGATTTAAGTAATTTTCCATGATTTTCCATGTTCCTATAGTTGAATCATACTTAAACCACTCTAGAATAGGAATTCATATTTCCATCTTTGGTGGAGTCAGATATCACCAAAATTGGTGATCCAAGAGTGGATTACCATCCTTTCAGGTGATGTCTCGGTACCAAACTAGTCATGTTGACCCGTTCCATGAGAAAACGTCTCCCACATTGGTTTGTTACTTGACTATGTTAACATATCATCTATTTGGCTTTGAAAATGGTGCATTCCCAATGGATTCTCATCAATATGGGTATGGGTCAAAATTAGGTACCCCAATAAATAGATGGTTAATACTAAACTAGACATTTCCATCTGTGGTCCCCTAGGTCTTCCATTTTGACCCACATCCATATCCGAATTCAACCGGTGGGGACAACCCCGGGAACCCATCCCAGCCGCGAAAACTGAGCGAAGCGAACCAGGGATCTCATGGCTTCCAGGGCGGGGGCAAACTCTTCAGTGCCTCGGGGGATGATCCAATGGTGGATGCCACCCAGAGACAACAAAAACCCAGGAGTGGTAGATTCATAGGTGACTTGACCCATCCTAATACCATCCAATACCATCTCAATATTTGGGTATCGTTCACGTCGTTCACAGTTTCGAACTGGGGCCATGGATCGTCAAGGTAGATGAACTTGGATTGATCCAGTCGGACAGTCCAGGGCTGCAGAAACAAAAACCTGGAGAAGTAATGGAAAATCTTCAACAATGGAGATAACATGTATATGATTGATGTATAATTGATTATAATTAATTAACTATTCAATGTAAATATTTATATTATATATATATACATATAATTCTACGTATATATATAATGTAAACAACTATAATATATATATTATATATATATATATTTATCATACATAATCCTACATATAAACATATACAACCCCAAAAGTCGTGACTGTGACACCAATGGTTGATGGGTCTGCATGTGCCAAGAGATTCAAAAGTGGTGATCATCAGTTGGGTCTGGTAATTGAAGTATCCACCAGCCAAATCCAATGGCTTCTCATCATTCTTCATCTTATACTTGATGGTCGTTTGGGGTGTAATTTCCCCACTAGGATACCAAACCCACTGTTAGAGGTCTGAAAATGTACAATTTCCAGCATCTTCAGGATTTTCTCAGCCAAAACCATTTTTCAAGATCAAAACTTGCCCCTTTCCAACAGCTCTAGGTCCCCAAGCGTTCCGCCAGTTGTTGCAAGGCTTCCTCGTCCGCAGTCTCTGGCTTCAGGGATGCAATGGCCTGGGCCGATGGGATACGTATCATAAACTATGAGTTATAGATGTGATAGAGTTGGTTTGTAAGACCTCCATGAATACCATAGATTATAAGTTATTTATAAGTATCATAAACCATAGTTCTTGGAGTTATAAACCGTTATAAACCAACTTAGCTATCGTTTTGGGGCCCCACATTGTATAGTATTGGTATTTATAGTAATGTATAGTTATACCAACCATGATGTATAGTTTTTGTATAGTATAGTGATTATCTAATTAAAACACTGTCATGTTCTATCATGTATAGGTTTCTATATATTTATGTATAGTTGGTTTGTATATATGCAACTATATCCCAGACTATACAAGACTAGACATAACTGATCATAAATATACGCAACAATCCAAACCATGGACACCAAAATTGACTGAGATACAGAAACCACAGTTGAACACATCAGAAATCTTCTGCAAAACTGTGGGTTCATGGCTTCTTTCAATGGACTAGGATCACATTTGAGAATGATGGACAAACTATGACAGAATGCTCTTCCGTGAATACCAAAGGATATGGCCAAACTGGTATAAGACCCATGTCTCATGTCAACAATTAAAACACGCTGATCTGCTAAACATTGCGACAACCAAGAACAGGTCCTGGATGGGAAATACCCTCCAAGCACCCATAAATTGGCTGGTTGGTGGTTTCACCCCTCTGGAAAAATATGAAAGTCAGTTGGGATGATGACATTCCCAATATATGGAAAAATAAAATTCATGTTCCAAACCACCAACCAGATGGTATCTTACCCTTTTTTTAAGTGTTTTTTAATAGGTATTTGGTGGATTTAGCACCCCGCCTCACTAGTGGAATCGGCCAGGTAGAGCATCTGCATGGCACGAACCATGGCTCTGGGCTTGGTGACACCTGGCGCCCAGCTGAGAGATCTAGAGATATCTGTGGCACTTGGAAAGCTGAGATATCCACATTTATAGAAGGGTTGGAGATTGATATGTTCTCACTTGTTTCTTGAGAGGTTTGGTGGTCCAATCTGTCCAATCCTATGATTTTCTTGTTGAACTCATTGAACTCCACAGTTTTGGTGGTGAGGCTCCACATCCTAATCTAAAGAAATGGGGCCTCTATCTTGTTGGATCAAACAAACCAGGTCACCGGGTCTCATCTCCCCAACAAAATTGATGTGGCGACTGTGGCGAACGGGGTCAAAAGCCTGGTACCGCATGTGAACCTCAGTGAACTAGCTGGTAAATAGATCTTCATCCTAAAAATGATAGTAGGTGTTGACCCACCCCCAGAAAATTCATGAACATCTAATTAACATCTATATTTAACCACAGTATGTTTAAGCCACTAGTAACATCCATCCATACCCGTAATGGTTCAACAGCTCCCACCGGGACTCACGTCCGCTGCATCCGCAGCATCCGCACCTTTCTCCGCCAGCTCCAAGAGCCTCGCCAGCTCGTCGTGCAGGCGCTTCACGTGTTCCGGGCCGATGCCCAGCGATAGGAGGTCGCTGTCCTAAGAACGGCGCTACGCTGTGGTGCTGTGGTGATTCTCTTGAGAAACATCAACTATATAGTGTATATTATATAATCTATATATAATGTATATACTTATCTATGTATATAATGTGCAATCTATATATAATGTATATATTTATCTATGTATAATGTATATATATATTGTATATATATATATTGTATATATATATTGTATATATATATAATGTATATATATATATTGTATATATATAAATTGCGTGTGTATATATATATATAATGTGTATATATATATAGTGTATATATAATGTATATATAATGTATATATATAGTGTGTATATAATGTATATATAATGTATATATATATATATTGTGTATATATATATATTGTGTATATATATAATGTATATATATAGTGTATATATAATGTATATATATGTATATAATGTATATATAGTGTGTATATAATGTATATATAATGTATATATATATATAATGTATATATATATATATATTGTATATATATATTGTGTATATATATATATATACTGTATATATAATGTATATATAATGTATATATATATAATGTATATATATATATATAATGTATATATATATATATATATATATTGTATATATATATAATGTATATATATATATATTGTATATATATATTGTATATATATACCGTATATATAATGTATATATAATGTATATATAATGTATATATATATATATATATAATGTATGTGTATAATGTGTATATAATGTGTATATAATGTGTCTATATAATATATAATGTATATATATATAATGTGTTTATATAATGTACATATAATTTATCATATAATGTATAATATATATATATATATATATAATGTGTATACATACATGTGTATATATATATATATATAACTTAATGAAAATACCCTGGAAAACCATGACCCTTCCACCCTTCCACCCTTCCACTTTTCTTAGGGACGTACTTAGTTTGTTCTTAGGACTTATAGGATTTTATGGGCACATTGAAAAAACATGAAACAACCGCCTGAGTTACACAGGGGGATGACACCACCACGGCAACAGCAGTCCTCCTCCTCTTCCTGTGTGGGATCCTTTTCTGCATCCACCTTTGCCTCAAGTCATCCAGATTTCTCATGGCATTATGGTGTGAGGAAGAAACATATTCTTGATTCGGCATGATAAACAGTTATAGTCTTAATGTCTCATGCATGGATCCAAACACATCCAAATAAACTCAACTTAACAGTGCCTGATACTGCCCGATAATAACCTTGCACTTTGGATCCTCAAAGTTGCGTGTTGTTTGCTTCAGAGATGTTCCGGCCTCTGCTGCCATGGTCTTCTCCTTAGTGGTGCCACGGAATGGATTTTGAAGCAGTTATCGACTGGGGAATGGGGGGGGATAGTATCAACTGGATATTGGATTTCAGCCAGCAACCTGGAACCTTGGAACCTTATTCTCCTATTTCTAAGTGGGTTAAAACCCCAAGTCGAGACCAATCTTTGGATTTGTGAGATGATCCTCCATTAGGTCAAACCCAGTTTGAGTACTGGATCTATATCTCAACTAGATCAATCTCAAGAACAACTATATAATACAACAATCATCCAACATCATCCCAAGAAGTCCAACAGCATTCAAGTCACAATAAGTCCCTAAGTCTCAAGATAGTATGCTTCTTCCATGGGTTTTCATATATTTTACATAGATGTCAAATCATCCTCCAACCTGGTAACCATCCAAAATCCATGAAAATCCATTCATCCTCCTCCATCCATCCTCTATTCCCATGAATCATGGGAATTCCCATGAAATTCCCATGAAATTCCCATGAAATCACCATGAAATCACCATGAAATCACCAACCAACCAGCCACCAGCCGCGCCAAGTGGCCATGACCCCCGGCGCCGCCACCTCCAACGCAGCCTTCACGTGCTCCGAGCGCCGCAGCTCGCGGAAGGCCTTGGCCAAGGCCCGGCGCCAGCGCAGCTCCTGGGCCACGGGGGTGCCATCTCCAAGGGACGAAAAGATGGGGAAAATCATAGGGAAAATCATGGGAAGATGATGGGAAAATGGCCATCTAACTTTGAAATCCATGGAAATCCTATGATTGATCTTCTTTTTGTTTGGTTTACAACATAGTTTAGTTGTTAGATGAAAGTACCCGATATGCCCATCCAATGGTCTCTTGTCATATTGATTGATGTGGAAACTGGAGGAACGCAATAAACGTGGCCTGAAACCACCCATCCAAATTGGAAACTATAGGAAAATGGAACGTGAAAGCTGGAATCTAGGAAGAATTGAGTTTGGAACCAGAACTTTCCGGGCGCCACAAACCAAAACACTAAAAAAATGGAAATTGGAAGTTGGAAACCACAAGAAGGAACAAGCAAAGCCATTAAAAAAAAAACTGTGTTTTTTATTTTTTGTGAGGAAAATTCAAGATTGGATTGGATCGGAGATTCTAGATGTCATAGTCTTTAGATTTGCACCGGGAACTGTCTCTGCAAATGCCTCTCCAACGAAGTCTAAGTTGGTTCTACACTATTCTACACCCATCATAGCATTCAAGAAACAACAAACCATGAGTAAGATAACATGAATATCAATCCCAGAAACCACATCAGAACTCGTCTCCCCCTTGATCCTTTTTGCTCGGTCCTTCTCCTGCCTTTGCTCCGGCGTCAACGTCTCCGCCGCTGGTTGCGCCGGCTCTGCCACCGGCGCTTCCGCTACTGGTGCCGGTGCTTCTGCGTTTTCCGCTGCTGCAGCTGGATTCTGCTCCACTGGCGGGTCCACTGCGTCGGCTGGGGCCGGTGCTGCAGGGTCAGCCGCTGCTGCCGGGGGCGCTGCAGCCGCGTCAGGCGCCGGTGGCTGCGCTGGTTCAGGAGCCGCTGCAGGAGGATCTTTGGAAGCCGATGACTTTGGAGCTGCCTGGCACAACACGCAATCCGATTCATTTTCAGCTTCTGAGGGTTAGCAGGTTCCAAAAATACCATGAGGACTACTACTAACTAGCTAACTGTCAGGTGTGGTTGATCAATGTCGATCATCTCAGGTAACATGGACGCCAAGATCATAGCAGCACCTCAGGCCGAGTTCAACGTACAGGGCTCGCCTGAAGCTCCGCAATCATGTTCTTGACCTGCTTCTTCCCCGGGTAAAACTGGGTTTTGTTTGGGTTAAGTTTTATCTGCAAGTCAGGAATTCAAGTGCCCCAGCAATGGAGAGCTCATGTCATCCCAGTGTGGAGCTTTGCGCGCATTATTGGGCCACGTTGAAGCCATTTTTTGAGAAATTAGGATTGTCTTCACATTCAATAAATCATCCAACGTATCAAATGTAAATGATCAATGCATATCGATGCCCCCAACCAGTGGCTCCAAATGTGGGAAAACCAGTAAGACATCCCAAACATTTTCTTGACCAGCGAAGGGAAGATCCCCGATACCAACAACTTCCCAAGTCCAAAAGTCACAAGTTCCTTTTCTGAAACCGTGACCGATCTGCACGTGTGAAACAAGTATCAATCCCAACCCCCATCTGTTCACCACCATGAAACAGTCTGCAGTCTTGTTCGGCCATGTTTGGTCGCTTTTAGTCATGCGAATCGCATGTTTTCAAAGCAAATTGTTAATCATCCAACTGGTGTTAGAATCCAGTTCTCAGTCATCCATGGGGGTTTCGGCTTCCAATCTATGGGGGTACCTCCAAATCATTCAAGTCATTACAGTAATTAGACCATGACTTAGTATTGAAACAACATGAAACAACCATGGTGACTCGGGGGATCCCTCATTTTATGACACCCCCAAATGGTTTCATCCATTTCACATCATCCAAATCTTACAAGAAAATGGTCGAATCGCCTCCTTGATCATCGACACGGCCATACGAAGGGTCTCAACCTCCAAAAGTCAAAGGGGAGGAAAAAGGACCAGGGATTTGCAAGGGATCTGGCAAACTGGATGGGGCATGATGACCTAGCTATATCTATATTATTCTATATTACCTTGTTTATTATGATTCTGGGTTCTAATCTATTTCACATGTTGATGATGATGGGGCGAAGCCCATTTCGGTATTTACTTGCGGCCCAAACATGCAGCTATACTTACTTAAGATCATACCTGCTCATTCCATTTGGGGACCAACACCTTTATATCTTTGATGTCAGCTCAGCCGAACTCTACATCCAGCCCCTCCAACAAACTCCATCCATTGGGCATGCCATTGGGGATGATCTTAAACATTATTCAATAATATAAACATAAACATAAAAAAAAACACATGAAGATCAATAAACATCCATAAATATCCATAAACATCCATAAACATCCATAAACCACTGAATATCACTGATATCCCAGTTTTGCTATTCATGGCTTAATACACTTCAGAATGCTGCTGGGATTCCAACTAAAAAAATATCATCCCAATTTGGGCCCAAAGGCCTTCTCCACTTTCGCCACCTCGTCGCGCAAAGCACGCACCTGGCGGCACACTCTGCATTGAACAAATGCTGCAGACCTGCACTTACAACTCCGCTCTTCACTTTACACCACTTACACTTTTTGACTCTGCACTGATTCCACATTCCATGCTGCCTGCACTCTGTGACTTTGCATGACTTTGCACTGCACTCCACACTCTGCTCTCACTTTCACTTCACTCTCCTCTCTCTGCACTGTTCACTCGTTCACTCTGTATAGCCCGCAACCCAAACTTCGCACTCTTCACTCTTAACATTGTTTGCTCTGTGCCCTACACTTGCATTGCACTCCACACTCTGCTCCACACTTGATATTTTCCATTTCTCTGCACTCTTCATTTAGGATACAGTGATCACACTCTGCACTCTGCACGAGCAGCTCTGACCATGGGAAATCCGCCATAAAATGAGAAAAATGGCCCATGGATGTCCCATGGCTATTTCACTAATTGATCCTCATGAAATATAGCATTTTTCTTTGTAATTTGTAGACCCACTGATCATGCTCAACTATATTGGGCATGGCTTAAATATGCTTAAATGATATGGGAAACAAAAAAAGTGGAAGTGTCTGGATTTCTCAGACCTCGACTGCAAACGAAAGTCACGAAGGACCATCGCAAACGATTGAATATCAATAACCTTCAAAACATGAATTTGTCACTTTTTCCCTGATGTTGAACTCTCAATTTTCTGTTGCTTAGATCGTCATCATTTTGGCTTGTCACGTCCATGTCACGTCCACTGAAATCTGTTGAACCATCTGGTAGTTTCTGAACAAAGGCCATGGGAAATCACCATTGTTTAGTAGCTACCCTCTGGTAATTTAACATAGCTATTGAAAATGGCCAGTTATAGTGGATTTTCCCATTGAAAGTGGTGATTTTCAATAGCTATGTTAAATTACCAGAGGGTAATTCAAAGAACTCAATGGGCAATGGACCATCCATACCATAGCTATCTTAGACGTCATACCATTCTGCAAAAAAAAAAATCCCCACTGTTGAGAAACCATAGCTCTGTGAGGAGTGCTGCAAAACCCTCCGTGACTTCTCGTTATACTCGTTGCTTAATAGGATTTCCAGCAATGGATAGTGATCATCCCCAATGTGTATAATATATATATATATGTATAGTAGATAGTCAAGCTCCCTACAGTCATCCATCAAGCATCATTTGTCAATTGTATATCCAGAAATTTTTGATGATCATTTCTATCCTTCAATCCCTACCATCAGCCTCGACACGGGATTTCCCACAGGATACCCTCAAAGGCTTATTCAACTAATAGCTATCGAACATGACCCATAGACTCAGTATAGATTCCGTATAGATGATGTTCATGGTACTTTACCCATTGAACATGGTGATGTTCTCCAAAGGAGATCCTGAATCCTCTGGTAACATACAAGAAACTGATGGGAAAATCACAATTTTTTATGGGTAAATCAACTATTTCTATGGCCACTTTCAATAGCTATGCAACAAAAAAATCCAAATGGTATCCAATTCCAGGTGGATGAACATCAATAAATGAAATTTACCCAGATACATGATTTAAAGGATAACGTCCATATTTCCAAGTTTTTTGCACCCAGTACCTGGTGCAAAGAGATCATCTTCAAGTCGCACGTGGCGGGATCCAGACCTCTGAAAAATGAGCCCTCAAGGGGGCGTTGGTTACTTGTGGATATTTACTGGGATATATGATAAATGTATTATATCTTATTTTAAGTGCATGTATATGTATTTATCATAGTTACTGGGAAAAATGGTTAATATGATATATTTACTGGCCATGGGATATATGATATATTTACATGTTTTTAGTGTGTTAAATGTATTTATAATGTGTATATATATATACATATACGCACGCATAAATATGAATAATTTGTGATTTTCTGAATATAACCATATTATATCTTTATATTTGCTGGATTACTAGGATATATTCGAAATATAACCAACAATATGGGAATATTTACTGGGAATATGATATAGCCATATATAGCTAACCACATGTGGGGATATTAAATGAACAAAGGGAGAAACTAGTCAAACTCTGGGCCCCAGAAAGTCAGCAGAAACGGATCAAGCTGCTGCATTTTGGTACAAGAAATGTGGAGTTCCATAGCGGACCTGGAAGGTTCTTGGTGGTAAAAGTTGGATCTGGAAATCCAAAGATATTGAAGGTGGCTATACCTACAGTCCTACAGTCCTATAGTCCTATTGCCGAGGCCAGGCGTCACAAAGCTGAATTTCCCTCTGAGAATCCTGCTTGGAATAGCCGACCTGGCCAACATGACCAACGTTGGGGCATGCATCGAGCATAACTATGCTTGACTCAAACCCACATAGAATATCAGGTAAAGTCCATCCATCATGACCGCATTAAGTATCCACCAAAGGGATACGTGAAGAAGTTTAAACTTTATAAATATTTATAAATATAATTCATTAATCATATTGAATGGATACTTGATTATCATCAATCTACCAACCATGACATTCGCCTGGCTGCAGCGAAGGCGTTGCCGCCGTTCACTTGAGCCTTCTCCAAAGCGGCCTCGTTTCCCCATGCTTTTTGTCGGAAAATTCATGGCAAAAAGCATCAAAAAACACCTGGAAGTACCCGATATTTGTTGGCTAATCGCAATTTTCCGCGCTAAAATTAAGCTATTTGGGGGGTTGTACACGGGTATAGCGCATTTTCAGACACACAGTCAGTGGATCGCTGATCATATTGGACATTTACATTTGCTCAAGCTACTTTCTCATGACACTTGTGTTCAAAATGATGAAGGTTCAATCTGTCAAGAGAATTAATAGGAACACCACGGAACACGGAAGACAAAACAGCATGAAACAGAACAATGAGAACAAAAAATCAATCTTATTTTGGATATTTTTGGACCCCTGGGCCCCTGGGCGTCATTCAATGGGTTCGTTTCCATGAAACGCCGCAGGGAATCATAGCCTTAACAGTGCTCCGTCTGTGCATGTCCAGCCAAATACGGGGCGAGTTCCTGCAATCATTGCCTCAACTGTAGCAGGTCACCACCCCCAGTCTCCAGGTTCCCCTGCCACAAGTGGAGCTCTCCTGGAATCTGTCATGGGTGAGATGCTTTCTTTGCAACTCATACAATGTTGAGCATAAATGTGCCTACTTAAGAGTGTGAGAAAGCGTGGGTTAGTATGAGTCAGTTCAATTCAATCATCCTAATAGAACAATGACGAGAAAATGCCTTTGTCAAATGAGAAATAGTGCCCTTTGTCTCACCTTTACGTTGCGCTTTCGTGGATTTTCTCGCCTCATCCCTCCCACGAGGAACACGCATCCGGAAACATCCAGATACAATACAGAGTTTTTGGCAAAATAATGGTGCTTCAAGATCTTGTTTACTCTTGTGCCTGGTCACTTCCTCCTTTCCCCACCAGACCCCTGGGCTTCCACACCATGGTTCTTGCCCAAACACCGGCACTGGCGCTGGAGCCGGCACCGGATCAGCCGCTGCCTCGGGCGGCACTGCCTCGGGCGGCACAGCCTCGGGCGGCACTGGCTGGGGCGGCACTGCCTCGGGCGGCACTGCCTCGGGCGGCACTGCCTCGGGAGGCACTGCCTCGGGTGCCGCCTCGGATGCAGCGGGCACTTCCGCAGGTGGCGCTTCCGCAGGTGGAGCAGTCGCAACTTCGGCAGCTTTGCCAGCTTCACCTGCACCGTTTCTTTTGGGGCCAAAGTTTTGAAACTCAAGAGTTTTGAACGTGAGATAGGAATTCAATTTTGATGTATATATTAAATATATCTATATAATGTGATATTGCTACATATGTTTATCAATCATCAAATTTGGTTTCTATGTTCAGACCTGTTCGGAGCCGGTGGACCTTTGCCATCCGCAGGCTCACTTGCCACATCCGCCGCAGCCATTTCCACATCACCAGCAGTGCCCTTTTCGCTGGGTGCATCCGGACGGTCGGATGGCGGGGCTGCGTCAGGGAGGTCCTTGGTGGCTATGGGACTGATGGAAAACTGGCACTTCCGTGTTCCTAACATGACTAGGAACAAAAATGATGAGAAGTAATTACCCATAGGATCCATGGTGCTGGTATATATATGCATATATATATGCATATATATGCTAACATGACTGGGGTACATTGATGGTAAATGTTACCATATATAGCAGCACCATGGATCCTATGGGTTATAGAACTATAATGATGCAGTGCCAAATGAGCAGGACATCAGGTCACAGCTCCCTGGATATGCAACGACTGACGTGGTCCCTAGATGGTACCCGCAAGCCTTTCCCACGTAGGTCTGTCTATAAAAAAAATGGGTAGTTATACAGTGGTTATACTCACCAACATTGCAATTCTAATAGGGAAATGATGATTAACCAGTAGATACAGTAGAGCTGAAGGACACTACGCCTTCATATAAACCCGCATAAACTGCAGAAAACACCATCTTTGGCTCCGCCAAAGAAACTTCTCCAGTGGACTTCTCCGTCTTCTCGCCAGTCAGCGACTTCTCTGGTTTCTTCTCGGCGTCGCGACCTACTGGTGGTCATGAACACCAGGGAGCTTATCAAATCATATGGAATCCATAGGCTCCATGCATGGTACCTCACTGTACTGCAAATGTACCCAAACAAATGACCCAAATATCCCGAATTTCTTGGTGGTTTGATGCAATGATTGAAGTGGAAACCTAGGTGCAGCTGGCTTTGCTTCATGTCAAGTGACAGGCAGCCCGCAGCGCTGAGAGGACTTCTCCTGAGTTTCACAGCTTTGTGCCGAGACTCAAAACATGGCCTCCAGTCTGTCACGAATCAGCATGGCCTCCACTACAACGTGCATCCGAGGCCAAAAAGGGCGCCACTTTCCAAGATCTACGACCCCATCATCCATCATCCACCGAGCATCCCAAGGCGGCCACCATGTCCGCAGCCGATAGATTGCTGGCAGTTTTGTCAGCCACTTCCGAGCCGGAGATGCTGAAGGCTTTGGACGAGAGACGCCGAAAGGGCGCAGCTTTAGTCGGAGCCGGTGCTTTGCTCTTCTCTTCCTTGGTGTTTAACTTTTCAAACCAATAGTATCCAGTGGCTGGATATGAGATATCCGCAGATTTGGTCCCATCATTCTACCCAGAACTGTAACAGTATCACGCACGTAACATACAATGACTTCCACAAGACAAAAATCAACAAACTGGCCGAGCATAGTCATACAAAGAGAACCATCTGGTCCCCGTGCATTTAGAATGGATCAATCCTATTAGCATAGTATCTTCATTCTTCTTGATTCTGCTGGTGTCTATGTATCTACTGTTTGTTTCTTTCCCATCTGGTTTGAACACAAAAACATATCTTCAAACAGAAAAATACAGTCCCCATCAGCATCATCCCAGGTTGTCATCACTGGCATCCACCAAGAAAAAAAACATCCACCAAATCAATCCATCAGCCAGGCTGAATATCTCATAAATTCCATTATATATATGTATATATATATATCCCATTAAATGTCCCATAATGTATTTATTTTTTTGATTTGTCACTAACCATCATGAAACCATCCAGATTAATCAATGATATCTCGATTATCAACCTCCATTTGTATAGTCTTCCAATTACCCCATCATATATATATATAATTATATATATATATATACATATTCAAATCATAACTATACATGTACAGGCTATGGCTATATATATATATACACGTACCCTGGAAGTCCAATGTTGATGTTTACCTACACATTTGATTAACGTCGAAGTTTAGCTACGCATTTGTGCAATGTCGATGTTTACTCATCAATGTCGATGTTTATCCTTGAAACATGTGGTGAAACATTTTTCAAACTTTTATACATATTCTATCTATATTACATATATTATAATATGTTATAATATATATATAATAAATATATAATACTCAATCTATATTCTATAGTCATTGTATATATATATATGGTATATATCCATCATTCTCCATGCAGCTCAGCATCTCCGTCCAACTCATCCGCATCGGCGCGCTGCTCTTCCTTCAAGGCCTCTAACTCCTGGCGCTTCTCATCGCCGGCAGCGGGTCCAGCACCGGCCAGGGCCATCTCCTCGTCCTTCTCCAGGACCTCCTCCAACCTGGGCGCCAAAGGCGATGGGAAGATGGGCATATGGCAAAATGATGGAGAATATGCAATTCTGGAATATGGAATATTTATTTATGTATATATATATATGTCAATGCGTATATCTCTATGAGATTCTAATAGATTCTATGAGTAACAGAGAGTGTTTGCTGATTTTGTATACTTCATAGCTGTTGTGACATGACCGTCATAGCCCACGTGGCCGCCGGCCGAGTCACATGGATGCCAAAGCTGTCTGAAGGTCATCCTCTTCCTGAATCCCCCAAGCATGGATTGATGGTTGATACTGAAAAAAAACATGACTTCAATTGCCTCTCTGGCTTTCAAATCCCAACAAAAACATACAAACAAACGCATAGAAATAAGATAGACATGACTAAAAAACAGCTAAAACTGGAGATATTGTTTGTGTCAACGCCAAAGGGGAATACTTTTTCTATTTGAGATTTAACAAGCAAACATACAAGTGATTAACAAGGCAACAACCACATCAAATCACATCAAACAATGATTCAGATCAATTAAGATTCAAAGGTAGAGTTTCTCTAAAAATGGTGCACTGGTTTATCACCATTTCTGCATTCTTGGGTCAATCTCCCATTTTTCAGGTACCACACCCCACTATATAAATCTCTGGCTCTGGCGAGACATTCTCCAGCAAAGATTCTAAGGTGCCACCGCGATTGAGCGAATCGGCAGTGTTTCCACGTGCTAGTTGCGACTCGCTGACGCCACTTTCCATGCGAGAGAGCTGCCTGACACTGCGCGTGGTGGCAATTGAAGGGCTGAATGGAAAAAGGGGGAAGGTAAGTTTCCATCATTTCATGGGTAATTTTACGGTAAACGATGTAAGTCCCAAAAGAATGGGCAAAATTACCCCATGTTTCTAGGTACTTGGATGTACTTGGAGAGTCATCATGGTTCTCAAAATTTCTCAAACTTGTGTCACACCCAAATTGGATGCAGGCTGACCAGCCAAAATGGGATTCCTTTGGCGTATATATAGATGTGTATAGTCTTGCCCCTAAACCATTGAGATGCCACTGGGCTCAAATATAGAGTACCCAGAGAGGAATCTGTTTTGTGACCATTTCAGTCATTTGTACAAGGTGGTACGTACCCCCAATTATAAGTTGGTTTATAATCCCCATTAACTATAGATATAACCCCCATAAACCCTAGAGATTGGACTCTTGAGCCAGTCAGCCCCTTTGGTAACTCGCATTTTCTCAGCACCAAGAGACGTTTCTGGCATGTCCTGCGTCTCGTCGTTCGCTTTCTCTTTCTCCTTCTCCTTCTTGTCCTGAGGACAGTGAGCCAAGCCCAGCCATAACCTGCGAAACCTAAAACAAAGCCCTACAGCTTCAATCCCAATTAACATGTGTACCCCAACATGTGTACCCCAAAAAAAACATTGAGATTCAAATACCGTGGCACAACACCAGCAAAACAAACTGACTTGTCCAGAAAAGATCAATTCCCAGGTCGAGAGTCTGCATTTCGGAGAAGCCTTGCTTCCTCCCAAAGGCCGTTCTGCTCCTTGGTCGACTTGTCATGACTGTCCGTCGACTACACCATTTTTTGTAATAGCCAGCCGGCGTAACCATAGTCACCCAAATTCATCCCAACCTCCATGACACATTGACACCCGATTCCTGGCTGGCACATCGCATTTTCCAAGCGTCCAAAAAGGTTAGCACATCCTCCACTGTCAAACCTGGGATTCGCGGTTCAGATGCGCCCCAAACCCGAAATAAATCATATTGCCTATAGATTCCCTACAACAGGTGGATTTAATATGGGCGTAAATCTAAGTATCACGTGATTGGGAAACTCTGATTGTAGCTCCAACTGGCTCCCCATAGCCTAAAGGGAATGCGCATACCCATAGCTCCTAACGGATCCCTCGCAACCACCAAAGAGCTAAGAAACCACTCAGCAAATCCAAGTTGAACATGATACCGTGGACGGAAGAAATCCTGCACCAGTTGATAGATGGTTTATCCCGTTATAATCCCATTGGTTACAGTGTTTCATGGTTACCTAATGGTTACCTAATGGTTACCAACTGCTGCAGGATTTCTTCCATCCACCGTATGTATCCTAAATATAGACCTGCCTGAGACTGTCTCAGCTGGGTTTTTGGGGTCGATCTACACCTTCTCGCACAGAATTTGGACAGTATCTATATGCAAGACAAATGATACGTATCATGACTCCAACAGAATATCCAACAACATATCCAACAGAATATCCATTTTATATATACAAAACATTTATACATTCATATCTTTAAAGACATATGAGCTATGGTCAATAATCATGGTTAATAACCATTAATAGGGGCTAGTCATCCAATGGTTCCACTCGGGATTTATAATAACCATTATTTTTGGATCCTCATTATGGATGGGATGACCATCAACCATATAGTGAGTATTGACCATGGCTCATATTAACATCATCCAAGACACCTTCCTTCGTCGTCCTCCCCAAGGATCTCATCTTCGCCTCGCCATGGGCATCCAGCCGCGCCTTCAGCTCCTCCAGGCTGGCAATGCCCGCGCGGTTCATGCGAGCCGTGAGGATCCGCGCCTTCTTCTCCTTGGCTGCATGGTGGTGAATCATTGTGGTGAAAACGGAGGTTTTAATGGGAAAACCATAGGAAAATGGAGGTATTACCCTCTGGTTATGTCAAAATAGCTATGGAAAATGGCCATGGAAATAGTGGATTTTCCCATGAATAGCATGGTGATTTTCCATAGCTATGTTAATTTACCAGAGGGTACCTGGTATAATCAATGGGAATTCCAGGATCCTAAAATGGAGGTACGTTAGTACCATATTGTTGGCCATATTTTGTGGGGATATTTCCTTACAAGTCAATTTGGTGATCTATATTGTGGTACCTGCTATAAGGGTAAACATAGAAAAAAAACAATCTGGAAAATAAATGAACATAATGGTTTCCCCAGAAAAAAGAGTCTACAAATTTTGTTGATTGTTCACATCTATGTAAATGTTTACCCTAGTGTAAGTGTTTAAAAATAGATAAAAATCCGCCCACACCGCTTTGGCGGTGAAGGCGTGCTTATTGGGGGGCAAAACAGCAACACTAAATGCTCAATGACATTTGTTAATATAGCAGTCGCTATATCAGCTTTAGCTGGGGGGGGCCAAAAACGGTTTCGCACCGAGACCAGAATACGGTGGTGTTTTCGACATTTTTCGAGGATTTTTGGGTGTCTGAGCGCAAGAGGGTATTGAAATGGAATTTTGGGTCATTTTGGTAGCTTTCCGGCAATGGAAAAACGGCCAAAAATGAAAAAAACATTGTACATAGCAAGATTTTGCAGGGTTTTTGGATGCCAGAGCATTGAAAACACTGCAAAAACAAGTGTTTTGGACTGACGTTATAGCAAAAAACGTGTAAATTACCGTATGCTTGACTGGAAACATTACAAAAACACTGTCAAAAGCAATGTTTTGGAAGGATTTACTGCCTTTATGGCAAAAAACGTGTAAATTACCGTCTGTTTGACTGGAAACATTGGAAAAACACTGTCAAAAACAATGTTTTGGAAGGATTTCTTATATATATGTTGGAGTTGGCTACCGGCATTGGAACATGGAAAAATTGAAGAAAACACTGTAAATAGCGGTATTTTCAACGGTTGGGGAGATAAGGGAATTGGAAGCATTGTCGAACATGATGTTTTCGACCGGTTTTATGGCGACAAAAGTGTAAAGTACCGTGCTTTGAAGGAAACCATTGCAAAAACATGGAAACACATTCAAAGAACACGGGATTTGGGGGACTATCTAGGCGTCGTTGTCTAGCTATTTGAAATTCCGCAGCTTGGAGAGCCTCCAAGGGAGGGAAAAGTGAAAATTCCATAGCTTGGGAAGCTGTCACGGCGGGGAAAAGTGAAAATTCCCTAGCTTGGGAAGCCCCCACGGGGGGGAAAAGTGAAAATTCCCTAGCTTGGGGAGCCCCCACGGGGGGGGAAAGTGAAAATTCCCTAGCTTGGGGAGCCCCCACGGGGGGAAAAGTGAAAATTCCCTAGCTTGGGGAGCCCCCACGAGGGGGAAAAGTGAAAATTCCCTAGCTTGAGGAGCCCCCACGGGGGGGAAAAGTGAAAATTCCCTAGCTTGGGGAGCCCCCACGGGGGGGAAAAGTGAAAATTCCCTAGCTTGGGGAGCCCCCGCGGGGGAAAACCACCCTTAGCCCCTCTCACGGACCGAAATAAACATGCGGTGTGGGCGGCCACCCCACGCGAAGCGGGGTGAATAGTGTACCTCCCCGGGTTCTCGTTTTTTGGAGGTTAACTTAAGGGTATCTGGATAAATTACAACAATTCACCAACCTGTAATAAGATTCTGTTTGGAGGTTGCTACATGTTGGTACGAGCTGTGCCTCATGAGACTCACCGACTCACCATGCATCAAGTCTCCACTTCCTTTCCGCTGGTGTGTTTCTTCTGAGCTCGCAGGGCCCAGCATGCCAGTGAAGAGGAGCGCATCCACCTTGAGGCGTGTCGTGGGGATATAAGTAACAAGCATCAGGATCTATCAAGATACTGATGCTTGAATAATAGTGCAGAAATGGAATATTACTGAGATTTGTTGTCATGTATGGGGATAGCACGAAATATGGATACTTCTTGAGAATATATATATATATATGTTGAACAAAATCAGAAGAAACATGAAGATCTACACACTCAGTTGCCATCAATTACTAACCATACCCAGTAATTACTTATTCTTCAACAAGCAACCATTACATAAACATTTGGATATTGTGGGATACTTTGAAAACAATATGTGGATGACTTGTGGAGCTGGTGGTTGTCCATAAACAGTAAGCAAACGGCTTCAATGCCAGAAACGTTACCCTCTGGTAAACATACAAAAAACTATGGAAAATAACCATTTTTAATGGGAAAACTCACTACAAATGGCCAATTTCAATAGCTATGTTAGTTTACCAGAGTGTACTTGTTGAGTCTTGTGACATGTCTTACAACGTTGATATCGTGTCATGTATCTGGCTGAATCAAACGACTCCTCAAATGTCAGGTGTTGTCAGGCTAGTTACCGGTTCTATGAACCATCATCATAAACCATTTTGATGTTGGCCAGTGAGGTTGTTATAATTCATCATTATATAAATGATATGTTATGATTTGTTTATATAAACATATCACGTAACAAATACGTAACATATAATGATGATTGTGACATATCAAAACAACATCCCATTTTTGAAGGTTTTGGTCACATCAATCTGCCCATTGCCCTGGCGTTTTTGTTGGTCAAACCCATCGACGACGTTGCCGAAGTCACTTTGGGAGCATCGTGACGTAAAGCTGGGTGGTCACCGTTTGCTCCTCATCCGGTAAACCTGGCGTCATCGATCTACCTATGACTCAGGGGCCATCTAGGCTTAAAGACCTGGAAAATCCATGAAAATCCACCTGTTTTTATAGGTTATAGGGATTGAATGGTGGTTTTTCCATCATATGGGATATGTGCTTTTTGGGATTTGCTGGAAAGTTGTCCAATGGCCACTGGAGGGGTCTATACGGTATACCCTATTTTCAGATGAACCCATTTCATGATTAGAAAAACATGCATTTTTGATGCATTTTACAGCCTGAATCTGGTGCAAACATCTCAAGAACCTTGGATTTGATGCTAACAAAAACACCTTGGATTCTGGTGACGCTTGATGCGCGGAGTGTGGATTTTGACACGCTTCCCCCTCTCAGTCCCCACTGGCCACCTCGATGCCCGTACATGCGGATCGATCGGCCACACCTGAGGAAGGTTCCGCTCTAAATGTTCCCATAAGCCAACAGAGTGATCCAGTAAGTGGGATATATGATGTGATATCTCATGTCTGTAGGGAAATGTGATATTCAGAACTCTAAACTCCAACCCGTCCAACTTTTTAGTGGTCTAATTTAGGAGCTGGGAAAGCATCTTCGTTTCGGCCAGAAAAAGGCACAATTTGGACATTCCCAACATGCAAAACAAACATAAATGCAATGACAAATGATCAGCTTACTGAATTCTGAAATTCATCATTCCTTGGGTGAGTTTTGGGGATAGACCCCAAGTCTTCCCGTTGAGCCAACCATGATTCCCGTCGATGGATCGCTGCTTTCGAGGCCTCTAGAGAGATACCAACCGGGAAACTTTGTTGCGCCATGTTGGGCATCAAAACCATATACACAGTATATATATATATATACATAGTATGACAATATATAATATATATATATGAGGATACACAGTATGTATATATATATATATGGTTATCATGTTGGCCGTTGACCAAAATCACAGTTGTGGGCATCGTTGACCTCTCAGGCAGAAAACACCACTGATCCCTCAGGAGTGTAGATCCGGATTGCCCAACGCCACAGATCCATCATTGGTTAACCCACATCTTGGTGGTGACAGTTCTGAAGTCCAGGAATCTTGAACTCAGAACTGTCACCGCCGAAATGTCTAACTCCCCATATCATGTAAATCTTAAACCAAATATCTCAACATATATATATATAATATAATATGTATAAACCGTCACTATATCATCATCTACAGGCTCTCCATCTACCCCAGCCCTTTCTTTTTTTCTGCCACGGTGCTGCTGAATGAAGCCACTGGGCGACACCGGGACATCGGCCAAGAAGGTCTTCCGCACGCTTAAGAAACTCACGCCCTCCGAGCACTGCCTGGGTCCATCGCTGATGGCTTCAATCATGGGCCAGCTGGGTGAGTAATACTATAATACTAAAGGTGAAAGATGTTGGGAGGCAACTAACATCAACTCATAACTAACTATAGTTGATTATGGTTGGGTAGCTCTGTAGATCTTTTGAGATTTCAAGGTCAGGTTTGTCGTCGAACGAGGCTAAGCCCACTGAGATTTTGATAAAGCTTGACCCATAGTCCCATGCCTTTTCAACAACCAGAGTCAAAACAGTAAGCAGGGCCCTAGCTAGTTTAAATACTGTCAAGTAAACACATGAACCCCCAAATAAATATGATGCTATAACAAGCTAGTTTCCAGCTTAAGATTTTCTACTTCAACAAATCCCTGGAACATTGACAATCACTTTCAAACAATGGATTCTATGGTTAACCATAATCAACTATTGTTAACCAATAATCAACAATGGTTAATCAAGTTAAATGTTTACTATGGATTTAAATCACTTGATTAACCATCAATTGTAACTGATTAACATTGATTTAACTGGTTTACAATTGATTTAACTTGATTAACCAGTAAATCTCCATGTTTGCAACTGTTCAATGCCATCCATTCGCCATCCTCTGCCATCTGCCATCCTCCAAGATGCAAAGAGTCGGCCACCAGGACCCGAAACTTTTCACCACGGAGGTTGGAGCAGTGGTTGAACTCCGAAAGCTCCTGAGCCATGGCTACTGTCACCAGAGGATGGAGAAATCATGGACAAAAACCATGGTTTATATATACTTCAATAATAAGTAAACCATCAATTTCCATAAACCATTGAATACTATTAACATCTATTAACCATCCATCCACTAGTTTTTCATAGTTGTTCATCATCCTATTAACTGTATATAATTATTATATATCCAGGGGATTGTCTTGATTTTAAATCATCCCATTGACCTATAGGGGTATACTCAAGAATAAACACGACTTAAGGATGTTCCCCCTGGAATATAGCGGGCTACATGATCATGGCAGCTGCTTATATATATATATATAAATGATCAATGTCCTTGTAAATCTCCGGGCAACACAAGGCGTCTGGCCGTATTATTATAATGTATGTGTATATATATATAATATTATATATATATATTCTATTGCTATTGCTGGGAAAAAAAAAGAAACATGACATGAATACTTTTTGCCATGTCGGCCAAGAATTTCCATTACACCCATATATCAACACATTGGGAACCCCAAACCCCCACATCCCGCGCACATGCGCCCTATCCATGCGCTCCCTGTCCAAGGCACGTTCATGGTGGCCACTTGAAACGGAGGATCCGCCTTCTCCGCCAAGCGTTTCATGAGTTCCAGCATCACCACGAAGCCAGAGGTGCGCCCTATCCTGGCTGGTGAAAAGAGCCGAATCGGTCAACTACAGGATGGGGCCCCCGTTGGATAGCGTTCAGTTGCCGAACATTTTTGTGGCTGAATTCTATGGTTTATGGTAGATATATATTATATATAACTATAGTTAATGGGGGTTATAATGGTTTATAAACCAACTTATAACTGGGGGGGCCCTTCCTGTAACATAGCTATGGATAAATCACCATCTTTAATAGGTAAATCAGCTGTAAATGGGCCATTTAATTTTCAATAGCTATGCAACAAATTACCAAATGTTCTATCCATTTGCAGGTGGATGAAACATCAATATATTCATTGGATTGGTTTAAGGGAAAATTTACAGGAAACCATGGTTTTTACCATGAAATATAGGGGTTTCCGGTTAAAATTTTCCCATCATCCAATTCTATGATATATAAATAATATCAAATATATGATCTAAAGTGATTTACAGTAGTGATTCATAGGTCATTTATAGTGGTCCGGGTAGTTTTTTTTGCAGCAAACACAAAATGATGCATCATTGTGGATTGCTAGGTGAAAGAAACTG